TCTTATCCACTGCTGGATATAAGGGCTCGCCACGTCGTTGTCACCACCCCGGGTTTTGCAATTGCCACAATCCATACCGCATTGCATTGCTTCATCTCCGCGGTGGTCGCGTACTCTTGGGACGTGTTTTCCCTCCTCGGTCACCAGCCTTGCCCACCAGCCACCGTCCCCCTTCTGGCGATATGCCCAGCCCAAGCCGGCCTTAATCAACAACCAATACTCACGGCCGGCTGTCAATCCACCGCTGGATGACGAAGGCCTCCCCGACTCCCATTTTGGTCGTGGGGGAGGGTTGTGTGAACGTACTTCACCACGCTGGCTGCTCAGCGCGGCTTGGAGCAGGGTTGGGGGGACACCCTCGTGCGAAAACACGGATTTCAACTGATGAAATCGATCCACGAACTGCTGTCTGCATACGCGAGACATGCAGGGAATGTGCGGTGCGCACCGAGACAGAAAAGGGAAATGACTTAAAGCAATGACGTTCAATAGGGAGGCTCTCTTTGATCGTCGTCGTGAGCTGTGGGGACCCCTCTGACCTCTTCACATTTCAACCGATCCACCTGGCCCGGGTTTTATTTCAGCTCTGGGTACCCGCGCATCACAGGCAGTCTTCTTCCTACAATGGCATCTCCCCTTGCGGGCAGTAGGGGGGGGGGGTGATGGGGAAGGGGGCTGTTGCCGCTCCGTGGTAGAAGAGTCATCTGCCAGCAGGTGCGAGGGTGACGAGCGCCATGAGTCTATGGCTGGCATAAGACCAGTTAGCGTGGCATGCTTGGCACGGGCTATGGTACACGGAATGAAACGGGGGTCCCCCGCCTGCCCGCTTCCCCCTCCCGCCCCCATCTCTTCATAGTCCCGGAGCCAGAGCCACTCTGGCCCGCAAGGCCCAGTACAGCAGCACAGCCTACATACTCCACAGCCATACGACCGGTGGTAATTTTTCTTCTCGCTGACAAGAGGCACGGTAGTTGGGAGCCGCTTCTGCCGACGCTGGAGCCTGCGTCGGCCGACGGCAGCACAGGGGCCCGTGCGCTTTGGTCGAGGGCCGCACATTTCTGCCGGCAAGGCTCGCCGAGGTGCGGCGGGGCTAGCCAGCCTGCGGTGGCATCGGCGTTGGGCGAGTGTCCGCTGGCGAGCGAGAGAGAGCGAGCGGGAGATCGTGATTGCGTGGATGCGGGGGGCGCCCCCCCCCCACCCCCGTCTTGGCAGCGGCCTGGCTCTTGGCGTTGGCTGCCGGGTAAGCGGCGGAGCGGAGACGGCCACCGCCGTACCGGTTAAACTACTAAACTATTTTTTTTATTTTACCAGGTAAGGCCCAATGAGCTATGTAGCTCTTTTTCAGAAGCGACCTGGCCACAAATGATGGCTCAACAAAGTGGCTTAGCGCGTGGAAATCTATAGCAGTCAAATACAGTGCTCTAAACCCACGTTGATTCTAAAAGTGGAAGGAAAAATCGGAGGACCTGGAGAAAAATCCACGCGACCACAAGAAGAGAGACACGCAAACTCCCAATATACAACAGGAGTCAGGGTCAGGATCGAACCCACGTGCTCCTGTATACCAAGAGAGGTAGTTAACATCTAGCCACCGTGGTGGGTTACGCATCCCCCCCCTGACAAAGCGGATCGATATTTGGCTTCTTATACGTACAAATGTGAAAAAAAACTCGCTCATGATAAAATAAGTTTTGTTAAGTGCAATGAATGATAGCACCTCTGATGGCTTACAGAGGCACCATGACCCCATCACGCACAGCATATACAAATAAAAAATACATTTTACAAGCGGTTCGATGGCTGTATTATAACTCTAAGAATTTATGTTAATCAATTAACGATTCATCGGTACAGTAGTTATTTCATCGCAGTTGCCTACATAAGAGAAAATTAAGCATACATCCAAATGAAATTCACTATGCTGTCAAAATGTATACCGTCATTTACATTGATGTGGGACTCGCCGATTTCACTTGTGGCTGTTTTAATGTTTGGTTATATATTTACGCTCTGTGTAAAGTGCCAGGACCAAAGAACTAAAACCCACTGCAAATTAAGGATTCATGAAATAAAAAAATGAGGATTTTCTTTATTGGGAAGCATTTGGCTTGTTTTTTTTAGCCGTGAGCTACTCATTCATTGCACGCTCAGGTGTGCTCTTGGCCGGCCGTAATCTAAATTCACTCAAATGTTTTTAACTAGTTGTTCATCCATCTCGGCGATAGTTACGACAACGACGAGTACTGCCTCAGTACTCGTCTCACGGATGCTGCCCGTGGTGTTGATGGTCAGCGCGCTGCTCAACTTGCATCCCAGTGGCCAATTCGAGCTCCAGACTTGTCAGTTGGAAGAATCGGAAGGTTTCTTAAATCTACCCGGTCTCCGTGCACCCTGCAGTATACGCTGATTACACCACCGCAGTTAGTCGATCGGTAGTAGTCGCGTGTGGCGGAGTAGAGTGTGGGCATTCCCGCCTCTTCCAATATATTTGACCAGCGTGGAAGAGTTGGCCAAAACACCCTCGAGACCTTTAGAGGGGCGCTCTCTAGGAACTCCCCCTTTAGTGGAGGCCCCTCTGCCAGCAGTGACGTGAAAAGGCAATTCGCAGGGCTTGCACCTTTACCTTCTACTCTGCCAGCAAACGCTGGAATCAAGCTGGAGCTGAGAGCGCCTCGCAGCCCCCCGGTAATTGGGGGGCACAGCGACCACGGCAAAATCCACCGGGGAGGGGGGGGGGGGCAGTCGGGCAGTGCAGCAACTGCCAGAGAGTGTATCCCCCCCGAGTCGGCAAGAACTCGCGTCGCCGGGGTGACACCGGGACAACACCCGCGCTGGAAACGTGCGGGGCGATGAGGAGGATGACGATGAGGAGGATGACGATGAGGATGATGACGAGGATGACGATGAGGAGGATGACGATGAGGAGGATGACGATGAGGATGATGACGAGGAGGAGGAGGATGACGATGAGGAGGATGACGATGAGGATGATGATGATGCACAGGTGGTCGCGAGACCTTCTGCCAGCACAAAAGGCCTCGTCGCCGTTGCCAGGGGGGATTGGAATCGGCCTCGTTGCTCACGGCGCCTTTGCGCCGTTTTTGACAGCGCTTCTCGGCTGACCAATTCTCCGGGCAGGTTTTTACGCCAACTGAAAACGTTGATGCCCCAGTCGAAGGCGTAAGCATGCAACGTCGTCTTTGTTGTTGTAGTTGTTGTGTTCCTGTGGTTTCCTTCCTCCTCAGCGCCGCATCGACTCCAAAGCGTTCGCCGGGGGGTGTATGTGCCCGGGGTGGGTGAAGGGAACTTTTTTTTTTAAGTTGCGGTGGGGAGGGGCGAACGGGTCACGGTGACACCGCGCGGAAATGCTGCGTGGAAACCTTTACAAAACAAGCCGGGGCTCAAAAACCAAAGCGTGGAAAAAGAAGAGCGTCTGGTGAAAGCGGCACCAGCCTATTAGCGGCGCGCTTTACGAGCACAGACGCAGAAACTGCAAGTTGCGCCCCGCCTCCAAAGCGCACAATGAATGTGTTGCTAAATCCCTTTTTTCCTGGCCCTCGCCCGCACAATTCTGGGCAAGACATCAATCAAAATAAAAAGCTCTCTGCACGGAAGAGAACGTCAACACTGGCTGCAGTGGCCCTCTGGGAAATGGGAAGGAGCCCTACCAACCCCCACACCACCCCACACATTACACAACATACTGTGCAGTAGCAAGGATCGCGTGCCTATAGTTGTGCCACCCACCATGACTCATGTCACTCAGAGAAAATGGGACACGCTTCCACTGTGACACAAAGACACCCCCCCCCCCCCCGTGTAGCCTCAACAGACTGTTGGGGCAAGTGCTGTTAGCGAGCACCTATGAAGGCCGGCACGGCACACGAGGGGGGTGGGTGGCCAGCACCACGCCCGACCGCCTTTGTCTCCCCGGTGGCGATGTAGGGGAGCGGCAGCATAGCGGTTGGCGCGCTGCGCTACAAACCCGGCGAGCTGAGCACGATTTCCGCTCACGGCCAACACCAGTGGGCGATTATCTTAACCGGTCCTGGGCCCCCCTTAGCTCGACTCAGCCTCAAATGAGTACCTGGTGCGCTGCGTTAAAAAAACCCCACCGCCACTGTACCACACACAGACACACACAGACACACACAGACACACACACAGACACACACACAGACACACACAGACACACACACAGACACACACAGACACACACACAGACACACACAGACACACACAGACACACACAGACAGACACAGGCACACACAGACACACACAGGCAAGCACAGACACACACAGACACACACAGACACACACAGACACACACAGGCACGCACGCCGCACTTCCTCTCGGCAGTCACAGACGCTCCGGGCAACAAAGCGGGAGCCAGCGGCGCGTTCCGTCCTCATCTGGGGGGGGGGGGGGGGGGGGGGGCTCTGACTAAATTAGGAGGCTCCAACTGAACGCCCAGAGGAGGAAGTGGCCTCAGCTGCAGGCCGAGGCCGACCCAAGCCAGCCCCAGGCTCAGCTCGGCTCAGGGGCTGCTCGGCAGGCAGGGAGGGAGGGAGGGAGCGCAGTGCGATGGAGGGTGGGGCACAGTCGGGGGAGAAATGTTAATCATAAAAAAAATATTATAATTATGACAATAAAATGAAAATATACTAATTATTATAATCATACAAGCACCGCCTGCCATTATTTATTTATTGCTTGGGGGCATGAGCACCCTTTGCACACCGGGGAAGTGAGCGTGCGTCAATTCTCATCTGAAACAATTCGAAGGGCACCCCCAGCGGAAGCTGTCCGTGCGGAAGAAAGGTGGCTCAGCACCTGGCCTGCAAGTGGGTATTAGTCTGCCAGCGGCGGAGGCAATGAATGCTGCTGCTTCTGCTGTGTAATTCCCAGCGGAGTCATTTGGAAGTGAAATCCCAAAAAGGGTAATTACGGGGTGCTGGGGGCGGTGTAGCAGGTGAATGGCCTCACGCACACACTCACCGTTGTGGAAGATGTCGCCTTTGCTGAAGTCCAGCACCGTACCGTCATCGGATTTGAAGTCAGCGATCGCGCGTGCTTTCCTGTGGGAAGCCAGGTGAAGGGGTGGGCGGCATGGTGGGGGCGGATGTTTAGATGAGAGTGTGGTGGGTGGATGCACAGAGGGGCTGACTTGAACAGGTCAGTGGTCAGGGGGAGAGGGATGGAGGGGTGCGATGTGTTACGGTGCGGTAAAGCCACGGCAAAGCGAGAGGCGTTGACACGGAAAGGTGTCGACACAAAGGGAGTAGCTTCTGTGGGACAATTTATCGACATTGAGGGGTGTTTCTTCCCCCGAAGGCAAAGAAAAAGCCACTGAACAACTGCCGATTGGCACGGCTGGCTACGTACGGTGCGAAAGAAGTTCAACATCATACTACACGCAAACCACCGCACCTGGGATCGCAGTTCCCACGCTCGCTCGACTCACGGGTTGATTACTCGAGCACACAAGCACAATAATCAACACTCAAGTGTTGCCATTTTCTTATGAACCCGAAACAATTTTGTGTGGTTGGTATGTGCATCATCATCATGGTAGTGTCGCGGTTCGCTCGCTGCACTACGAACCAGGCCACCCGAGTTCGATTCCCGCTCACAGGCAACACCAGTGACGATTATCTGAAATAGTCCTGGGCCTCCACAAGGTACACTCAGCCTCAAATGCGTAGCTGGTGTAAAGTGTGAACATCGCTCCTAGGGTGGTGCTGGTTACCCACCAATTCCCAATGTAAGCTCCCTATTCCATCCAATAATCGAAGAGTGTACGTTGTAACACTGCGGTGAATGGTAGCGCCTCTAGTGGCCACTCGGGGTGATGTAAACCCATTGTTTACAGTATAAATTAATAAAAAAAACACACACATCACTTTGGAAACACGCAAATTAAATGTACACATATCACGAGCTTCATAATTGATGGAAATTATTGCTCTGCATCAGCCATACGAAAGAAGAAGACCGATTAATTGATCTGTTTTTATAACTCCCAACACGTACACCAATGGCGGCTCTACAAATGCGGCAAGTTCAGTTTAAGATTTCTAAATCGCCCTCGTAACACAGGTAGGGGGGGGGGTCACGTTGAAGGCAATTATGTATGGTATTAATGAAGAATACATGCTGTTTGTGGAGAGAAAGTAAACGGGTTGCCACACACGTGGTAATGAATGTAGCGTCACCACTGCGAAAACTTATTTCGTGAGAATTTCTACCCCCCGCCCCGTTAGGGAAGGGGTGTCAATTATTTTTTGCACGCCACATGCTAATTGGTTGACATACGATGCCCAAGTGAAAATAAAATCCACTTCATAGTTACACTAATGATTAGCCACCACCGTTAACTGGTTTGAAATGTACACCCGAATATCGCTGCCCGTATATGTACGTACTGTATGTAGAGCTTCTTTCGCGCCGTACGTATAAATAAAATTACGCAAACCGTACGGTAAAAACGAGCGCGACTGTATACGGAATGCTACTAGCCACGGGCAAATGTGATCGCAAATACTTTACAAGCGTAGATATTGCAGAACTAACACACATACACCATCATAAAAAAAAAACATGACCTGACATTTATAAGCTCAAGTTACAAATTAAAGCAGAGAGGAAAATTCTCGCTTGACGCAGATAGTCAACAAACACTATAGAACATTAAATCCGGTTATGAATGTTGTTTCTATCAGCCGTCGAGTTGAGGGTTCTCTTTGCCACAACAATACCAGGGGACCATCTAAAATTAAAGAGATTTTTTTTCCCGGCTTTCGGAAAAACTTCACGCCATGTGTGCGGTCCACTGCTTAAACGGTCAAATGCAAGCGAACAGGCGATGGTCTTCATGATTACGCAAACATCGTACCCCTTAACGTCACTATCCCCTTGTCTGGCCATCCCCGGGGACTGGCCACACCATAGACTGGCCACACCATGGACTGGCCACACCACAGACTGGCCACACCACGGACTGGCCACACCATGGACTGGCCACACCATGGATTGGCCACACCATGGATTGGCCACACCATGGATTGGCCACAACATGGATCGACCACACCATGGATCGACCACACCAGTGATCGGCCACACCATGGGTCGGCCACACCATGGACCGGCCATCCCCTGGACTGGCCACATCATGGACTGGCCATCCCCTGGACTGGCCACACCATGGACTGGCCATACCCTGGACTGGCCGCACCATGGACCGGCCGCACCATGGACCGGCCATCCCCTGGACTGGCCACACCATGGATTGGCCACACCATGGACTGGCCATCCCCTGGACTGGCCACACCACGGACTGGCCACACCACGGACTGGCCATCCCCTGGACTGCCACACCACGGACTGGCCACACCATGGATTGGCCACACCACGGACTGGCCATCCCCTGGACTGGCCACACCATGGACTGGCCACACCACGGACTGGCCACACCATAGACTGGCCATCCCCTGGACGGGCCACACCATGGACTGGCCATCCCCTGGACTGGCCACACCACGGACTGGCCATCCCCTGGACTGGCCACATCATGGACTGGCTACACCATGGACTGGCCACACCATGGACTGGCCACACCATGGACTGGCCACACCATGGACTGGCCACACCACGGACTGGCCACACCATGGACCCCTTTAAATCTTCCCCTCAACCTCCTTAGCACTTGCTTCCTTAGGCCTTGCACATCCAGTAGAAGAAATAGGAGGCACAAGCTACGCAAGAGAGCACAACTCGGAACACAACACACGCAGGCCTCATTAGGCTGTAAACTGCTCTCGCCTAATAGATCAGGCTGGGACAACATGTAGTCTCGAAATATAAACACGCATTAGCAAGGTCCCTACTGAGGCTGGCAGTGAGCCCACAAATGAATACTTTTGACAATTAAAAAAAAACTACATTAGATTGGTAATGGATATAAACAACAAGTGTGATCAGTAAACGTGTACTCTGTTTCTACACTCTAAACAAACACACGAAAAAATGTTTTTTGCATCAGAACAGTACTTGTATTCAAATAATCCTGGGTCAAAAGGAAGTTCTTGAACGAGATCAAAAATATTTTCATTTACGACTGAAATACATAATTTGCGTACCGCGTATACATTTCCGATGTCATCACGAAAGGAAAGGTTGCCTCACACCCCACGAAACGTGATGATTTGTTAATCTGACACGGACACCACTCAATGGAATCAACGAGACATTTTTATTAATGAGAGGCTCTCCGATACGGCTCTCCCCTTGGGCCAAGGTTCCGAGTAAATATTTTCGCGGCGTTGGGAGCAGTCTGCACTTGCAGACAGACGCAATGGGAAGTCGGCGCTCCGCTCAAGATGCCCTGGCTCGATTCGGACGCTGGCAGAGCAAACGCCCGCGCGGACGCATTCACAACCTCGAAAGGCATCCACGAAAAACTGACAAAGGGCCAGCCCAGCTGCGTTGTTCAATTGCAGCAGATTAAAATTACAACAAACGCCGCTGAGATGGAGCGATCCGGGCGAAGCACAAAAGCGAGTTGGCAAGCGGGCACCGCTGCTGCGACGGGAGTATCGCCCCCGTCCAATAACGTGTCATTTTCGTGTCACTACACAAGCCGAGTCGCACAGTAATAAACAGTGTCGGGGCCTCTGCCGTGACCTCCCTGGCCCCCTTCGACCCGCGGTGAACGAGCGCCGAGCGCCGTTCACCGCTCTCGGCTTCGCGATCTCATTTTCGACACGGGCGGCCTCGGCTTCTCTCTCTCTCTCAAGTCCGCTGCGAATTGCAGCTGGGGAAGGAAAAAAATAGCCGCTGCAACCTTGCCCCGAGGGCTACGGCCGTTTAAACTCACCTTGCCACCACAATCGTCAGGCTCAGTTAAAAAAAACCCCCAACACTTAACGTGGGAACAATTATATCTCACAATACCGAGGAGAATTGCATGTAAACGTGTTGTCTTGAGCAGGATATCATTATAATGTAACTGACAATTCAGGGCTTTTCGTGATTTGGAGAGACGTACACGTTGACCCAGAATGCCACTTCAAATTGAGATAATTCCTGGGCAAACCAGGACAAGTGGCAACCCCCAACCATAACTATTGGCACACATCCCCCCCCCCAACCCATCACGAGCAGCGATCCTGTCTCACCTATCCTCGCTCTCGCACGGAATTTCCGAAACGAAGGCCGTGTGAATCCCGCTCATCGCGGCTGCGGCAGCAGGCGAGAACATGAAATACCTCAGCGCGCTGGGGTTCGCCTCAAACACAACCGCCCTCACGCGCACCGTGGCGTGCGCGCATCTGCAGTTATTTGACAATGTTTTGAAGGGGAAAAAAATAATAATCGCTCGTGCGTGTCACGCTGGCACCCGCAGAAACGCACCCCCCGGCCCTCACCCCCCTCCAGCGCCGCGGCGCCGTCGCCGAAGAGCGCCACGTTGGGTTTTGGGAAACATCGCGATGTCTCGCCCCCCCCCCCCTCTGCCCCCCGTGACTCCACGCTCGCCACGTCGCAACTTGCCGCTCGTCCGGCGTGTCAAACGTTGCTGCCTCGCATGTGTAGCAGCCGGTCGCTCATTTGCGAAACGTTCTTTGGCGAGTCACGCAATTTGTAACCATTAGTCACATCATTTTAATGTTAAACAAAAACTGTAAGCTGGATGTAAACTAAAAATAATAACAATAAACAATTTTTATTTTTATTTTACCAGGTAAGGCCCACCGAGCTACGTAGCTCTTTTTCAGAAGTGACCTGGCCACAAATGAGAGCCCAACGAAGTGGCTTATCACGTGCAAATTTAGAGCAGCCAAGCACTCTAAACGGACCCGACAAAAAAGCCGCGCGACCATGGGGGAGAATATGCAAACTCAAAATATACAGGCGTCAGGGTCGGGATCGAACCCACGCGCTCCCCGCGACCTCCTGCATACCGGGCGAGGTAGTTAACACCTCGTGACTGTGACGCCCCCCCATGGCGGTGTCACGGATGTCTTATTAGATGTGGCACTCAAGCCCCATAAGCCATCGGTGCCTCACTAAATGCCTTTTGGTTGTGCAGCGAATCTCGCACGTTCGATGAAGCCCAGACGTCTCCCATGTTATTTAAGGAGGTAACCACGCAACCTGTCGACTGCCTCGTGCTAAGGCTTATGAAAAACGCAGCTCGGCGACAAAACCAAAACATCGCCGAGGACGCGGAAATCTTGTGGCCCAATATCGCAAGCGACATTCAAAACGTCCATTCCGTTTCACGGGGCGCAATTTGGCTTCCGATGTGTCGGTAAAAAAAAAAAATTACGTATAATCCCATTCAACTTTCGAACCAAATGAGTCTCGATTGAAACGTTACTTTATTTTAACTCTGGCGAAGGTGAAAATGGTATGTCTTACAAAATATGGTTTTCGTAAAAATATATATAATTAAAATCACATGACATCAAATTTTGCCGGCACAACGCTGCATTTTTGAGGTGACGGTTTAGAGCCAAAGAGGTCAGGATCCTGCTCTCTCTGGGGTCGTGCGTGATTACCTGCGGTGGACTAAATTATACCGGGCTGGCTGCGAAATTGTTCCGATTCTGTGGCCAGCACGGTCGACATGGGGGCTGGAGAGCAGAAGCTGGCCCTGTTGTGGATTAGTCATGTTCACTTGAATAAGGAAAAAGCAGGGCAGTGACAAAGGTCACGCCAATCTATTCAGAAGAACGGAAAACGATTTATAGCGACGACCTTTTTATCCTCCGCCCGGAGTCAGTAACTTGGCAACGTGTGATTAACATTGAAGGTTCAGGTTTACCGGTGATTTTTTTTTTGTCACAAAAACAATAATAATTATAGTTGTTTGGCTCATCGCTAAAAAAAATAATCACCAAGCATGTGAATTTAAAAACATTAAATGCAACTGGGTTCTGGAGAAATTTACCGTGTGTGAGACCATTGTACTCTTTGTCAGATCTGTAAACAAATATTCCAGCAATGTTGCTGTGGTGTAATGGTCAGCAGCGTGCTACTGGACTTGTAAACAAGAGTTCGCGGTTTGATAACATCTCCCGGCGTGGCAGTTGAAATAACCGCTGCAAAGTTTCTCAAATTCGCGCACGCCTCTGTCCGACGCGGCACACACGGTTAGTCAATCGGCAGGCCTGCCATAGTGGGGTAAAGTATGGGTACTCCCACCATTTTCCGAGACGTTCTGCCGACGGTGGTAAGAGAAGCAAGTTTTAAAAAAACATTTGGAAAGGGGCTCTCTAGATTGGCGCGATTGAAAGCAGTGGCTGAAGCAGAGAGGAGGGAGAAAGCTGCAGCGTGTAGGCCGTGTGTGGGATTTAAATGTTTTGTTGTTCCATTTTTCACTCAATAGTGACCGTTGCAGCAGAAAATACCTGGAGACCATCCACACAGCCAGGCCTAGACGGGAATGAGGACTGCGGAGGGAAAGACAGGGGAGCGGAACGGGGAGGGGAGGTGCAAGACACAACATGGCACACAGCTCAGGCAAGACTGAGGGAATGAGGATGTAGGCATGACTGTGAGCTGCTGCTTTTGTTATTGCTGTTATGGTGGGGCTGAAGTGCAATTTAGTGGCAGTGGTGATGGTAGCGATGGTGGTTGTAGCGATGGTGGTGGTGATGATGGTATTGGTGGTGGTCATGGTAGTTGTGTTGGGAGTGGTGATTGGTGGTTGGTGGTGATGGTAGTAGTGGTGTTTTTCGTGATGGTGGTGATGACAGTTGTAGTGATGCCAATGGTAGTGGTGATGGCAGTGATAGTGGTGGTGGTAATCGCGGTGGTGGTGATGGCAGTGGTGGTGATGGCAATGGCAGTGGTGGTGGTGATGGCAGTGGTGGTGGCAATAGTGGTTATGGTGGTGGTGTCCGGGAATGGCGGTAGTGTCCGGGGAGGACAGGCGGCTGCACGTGAGTGGTTCCCCACCCTCTCGACATGAACTCGCAAAATCCTCACCCTGTCCTGCAGAGACCCTGCGCTCGCTTAAGGCCCATTAAAGCTGCAGTAGCACGGCAAAAGTGTGCGAGCGGCGAAAATACTCAAGTTTATTTTGTTATGATTTCCCCATTGTGGTTTGCTATAAACAGACGCGATGATTCTGCCTGACCCAACTAATCTAATCAGACATTTGCACATTGTGCCATCAGCCAACTGCTGTCAGCGGCTTCAAAACGTTACGCATTTCTGCGGGGCATTTCAACCGATTCAAGTCTGCGCCGAATCGCCATACATCTCGCGAGGGAGATTGTACTTCAATGGGACGCTGGGCCACCCGTCAAAAAGAACGCCCCTCTCCGTACGCGGTGCCTTTACCGGCCAACGCTTCCGCCAGCGGTAATCGGCGCACGTCCATCGAATCCAAGAGTGTATAGTGTGGCTCCTTGAGAGCATATCTTGGGATTGTGTGTGTGTAGACGGGGGAAGGGGGGGGGCAGACCTAACCAGCCCCCCCCCGTAGCGATTTGAGATTTGGGCACCCGATATACCGGATGCGCGTTGGGATATGAAGTCCAACAAAAAATCCTTGACTACTGCCCCCCCCCCACCCAATTTACTTCGTGAATGCAAAGTCCCTAAGCCAAGAAGCCGCTGCTTCTGGCCCTGCCGTGTTGAGGGCGAGTCGTGAGTAGGGGCCTCCGCTGAGTTTGTGGATTTGGCAGACTTCTTGGACGTGGTGCACGGTTTTGCTCCACCCCACAGGAGCACAGCGGGGGGCTCGCTCTTGTGCCCCATCGGTGGAGGTTGGCGATGCACGGGCCGTGACCGGTGATGGCCCCCACCCTAAAAATACTACGTGGGTTAGGAGGGGGGGGGGCCAGTGAGCCCAATCACCCTTCCCTACCCCTTATCCCGTGGGCACCAGGCCTCGGGATTGTTGTCCGCGGAAGATCTATCCCCTATTGCTCGTGCTTTCCTGATGGGGGCTCTTGTTTCATAAAAAAAAATAGATCCTCGTACGAGCCCTTTGGGGCCGTCCATAAATGACGTCACGCCATTTTGGACGATTTTTGACCCCCCCCACTTCGTCACACGGCGTCACAAAAAGTCAGACCCCGCCCTCAAATATGACGTCACAAAGCTCTGCCCCCCCCCCCAAAAAAAATATATAAACATGCTTCAAATCGCTTTAAACTATTGTCATTGTAATGCGTATTTAATGTGGCGCTGTACTCTGATGTTGTAGAAAACATTTATTAAAAAGTCTATTTAATTAAGCAGAACGTGTTGTCTATATTTATTTAAAGTTGCGCATTTTGATGTGACGTCACATTTCTCAAACCCCCCCCCCCTCGTCACACATCGTCACAAATGTATGACCACCCCCCTCCCCTAGGTGCGTGACGTCATTTATGGACGGCCCCTTTCTTCAGGAGCTGGGTAAAGTTCTGTTAGCGAGCGTCTATTTAGGTCCCCCCCCGCGCCGGCATCATTTTACACCGAGTGGACCCACGCGAGGGACGGTCCACGGGGGGGGGGGGCAGAGGGCTACAAATAGGGGCAGCAATCGGCAACATGGTGGGGGGGGGCCCGTTTCATTCCTTGCACCCGCGGTGGGAGGTGGTGGCGGGCGGGGCGGGCGTGGGGGGCGGTGGAGGCGGTGGGCGTGGGGGGCGGCGTGGGGGCGGGGGGCAGTGGGCGTGGGGGGCGGGGTGTGGGGGGGGGTGGGCGTGGGGGGCGGCGTGGGGGGCGGGGGGCAGTGGGCGTGGGGGGCGGGGTGTGGGGTGGGGGGCGGGGTGTGGGGGGGGCTCCATGCCAACCGCTGCCACTGCCGCCATTACACGGAGCGCTGAGGGTGCCCCACGCAGGAAGGGGCCTCAACCACACAGCCGCCCGTCCGCTTGGCCCAACTCTACTCGCCTCGCTCGCCCACCCACCCACCCGCTCGCTCACCACACGTGCACACACAGCACACCACACGTACACACACAACACGTACACACACCACACATACACACACACCACACATACACACACCACACGTACACACACCACACGTACACACACCACACGTACACACACCACACGTACACACACCACACAGCACACACCACACGTACACACACCACACATACACACACCACACATACACACACCACACGTACACACACCACACACCACACGTACACACATGCACACACCACACACCACACATACACACACCACACGTACACACACCACACACCACACGTACACACATGCACACACCACACACCACACATACACACGCGGACTGCACTGCAGGAATCCGGGATTAGCTGCGCATCGCCGTGACCTAAATTCCTCGCACTGTACATCGCACTGTATAGACGGCGACGTGCTCGAGCGGCAAAGGGCTCCCTCGAAAGCGAAGCAGGCGGCGGCGGCGGCTGGCCGAGCGAGCCACGGGGAAGGGGGAAAGAGAACGAAGCTGGACATTGAAGACAACGGCGGAGAATGAATATCGAATGTGGGAGGTGGTTAACAAAAAAATATAAATGACCGGGTATTTACGATCTGCTCCATCTGTGTAGGTGTGTGCCGGCCTTCATAGGTGCTACCCGCTAACGGCACTTATCTCAACAGTCTGTACGGGAGATCCTTTATCTTTGTATATAGCGCGTGTGTGTGTGGGGAGCGGTGGCGCAGCGGTTAGCGTACTGCGCCGCGAACCCGACAACCCAACATAAGGTGACGATTATCCGGACCGATCATGGGCCTCCTCGGTCGAGTAAATATCGCCACTCGGGAGAGACAAAGGTGGCCGTGGTTGGTGCTGGCCACCCCAACCCCCTCGTGTACCACAGTGCCGGCCTTCATAGGCGCTACCCGCTAACAGCACTTGCCCCCCAACAGTCCGTGAAGGTGACACGGTGGTGGAGATGATGGGTCTCTGCGGAGTGTGCGGCTCTCTTCGATGTGTGTGCGGGTTGTGGATGCGAACGCGTGCGAGGTTATTGATTTCGCACAAAAGCGTTTTCTTTATTCCCCAAGCTGGCCATGTGCGGGTAAAATATTTCACGAGGGTGCAAGAAAACCAAAAAATAAGAGTCACCCAACAAATGCCACGAATTTTGTCGAAATTCAACGAAAGAGAAAGCGGTCCACCAGCATCCTGGTTTAGCGTAGTCTGAGCCACGTTACCATGCCCAAAGGCAATGGAGAATATCCTTCATTCGCTAGGGATGATACGTAACTTCACTGTGGACGCGTCTAATGAACGTACTGCAGTGGCATACGTATGCATGTATGCATGTTGAATTGCTTTCGCACAGCAAGTGGCCAACCGTGCTAATCAGAGGTGCAATATGTCAAGCGGCCTTCACACAGCCCACTGTGTTCAAGCCAGACACTAAAACTATATAAACATTTTTTTCTTATTTTACCACGTAAGGCGCACTGAGCTGAATCGCTCATTTTCAGAAGCACCTTGGTGATCACAAATGATAGCCCAATTAAGTGGCTTATCACGTGGAAATATGTACCAGCCAAAATACTCGAAACGCACGTTTCAAAGTGGAGGGTGAAAACAGGACCTGGAGAACATGCAAACTCCAAACATGCAGGCGTCGGGGTTGGGATCGAACCCATGTAAACGAGGTGAGGTAGTGAGAACATCTCACCACCACCACGGTCCGTGCCTTCATCAACCCGGTTGACTGGGCATCGATCAACGATTTTGCGGTCTCCAGAGCCTTGACTTGGATGAATGTGCTCTGTACATTACCCTGTGTCCACACTGGCCATAGACCTTGAAAGAGGAGTACCCCATCCACACTTGGACTCCTCGACGTCTACGGGCAGGAAGTGTTCTGTGCGATCCACCAACCCCCCTCGCCTACACTGCTGGACTATAGGAATGGACAGCAACAACCGTCGGACAGTTTGCAGGTAGCTGAACAGCCTCCAGCGTAGGGCAACATTACATCAGCATCTATGACTTGATATCGTACCGCGCACACACACAAGTGTGAAACAAGTCCCGAAGCACCAACGGAACAAAGAAGCAGACCTGAACAGCGCAAGGCGTACACGGGTACAAATCGGCAGACCGACAGAAATGTAGACGTCCTTTGCATGATCGGTACTCCCGGTGAAAATCTTTGAAACCCATCTGTTGTGGATTACAGTGACCATCTCCACCACAACTGAAACGAAATGCCACGGCAGTAGCTGGCACCCGCGTCCGTTTCCCAAACGAGCGGGTGCCAGGTTTCTAATCCGTCTCTTAATAATACCTTTTTTTTTTTTTACACAGAAGCGGCCAGCGCGTGATGTGGATCGAGCGGCGAAAGAATTTCGTTCTTTTTTTTGTTGTTGTTGCCATGTTCCGCGGTTCTCACGGAAAAGTCGCGTGCGCCGCACGGCGGAATTGCCAAGACCACAGCGACGCCCTCCCGTCTCGCCGGTGGGCTGCGGCAGGTGGCATTGGCGGAGCCACTGCCGAACGCGGAAAAAAAAACACAACAACACGTGGAATTCAGTTTGGAGGACCGCAAAGGGCAGGATCTACCCCTCCCGGATGACGTTACACATTTTTTTCATTCATTGCCAGCAGCGTTAACAGAAATTTCCCGTCCGCCCTGCCTCGAGATTCCAGGCTCCGCATCGGCATCGGCCATTGTCTCTCCACCGCTGGATGGAGGAGGCCTCCCCAAAGCTGTCGCCGCCGCTGTGCCTCACTCCCACGCACGCACCCGATCTCATCGCTCCTTTCCGCCCTCCTCTTGTGGGTTTTTACGGACACATCCGTCCCGCAATTGAACGCAATTAGTGTGTTTAACGCGAGTGCACTCGTGTCAACTCTCCCCCCGGCGACACGTGTCGCCGAATCTGCACCAGACAAAAAAACGCGCGGGCACATCACCGCCAGAACAGCCATGGCGTGGCTACTTTGGCCACAACTACGCGGACTGAAGAGGCCAACCGAACCCGTGTCACCCCGTGCACGGCCATCCTGTGTCATCCACGCGAAATCTCTCCCGAGCCTGTGATTGTAAGTATTAAAGACACTGAAATATGAGTATGAGGTGTGCAGCCCTGCAAATGCTTTTTTAAAAAGGCCTCTACTGATGGGGCATTTTGGTCTCACTCCATCAAGCTGGTCACACATGTTGAGGAGGTGGAGGCACCCACACTTCACTAAATCAAACGTGACCTGCCAATCACACAACCGCACAAATGTACTGCTGAAAAGAAGGCAAAAGCGGGAGGAGAAACTTGCACTCCTGTTTCAACTGCCGTGCCAGGAGTCGACTCGAACTGGCAATCACTGGATATTGCAAGTACGGTGCGGTTACCGTTACACCACAGCAGCATCCCTGCAAGTGTAAAAGCAACTATGCATTAAAAGAGAATTATTAGGTTTTCAAAGGAAGAAAGTAGCACACCAACCCAGCATGTGTGAAATCATTTACAGAGAAATCTTCTCACCAATTGCCGCTAAGCCCAATGGTATGGGGCAACTTTATCCTGGCGTTGTGGGAAGCATGTCTCTCATGTGGCCTCAACACAAATGAGACGTCTGCTTCTGCGGCTCATCATCAAAGCAATCATTGAATGTGCCCGGCTCAAAATATACCCGATTGATAGAATGAGGGCAGACAAAATGGTAATTAAATTAAATTAATCTTGTTCGCCGCGAGAGCTGAGCATTTCTGCACGTCGTTCCAGAATCACGAACCGGGTTCACGAAACGCATCTTTAATTCACCTTGTTGTGGCCATGTTCTGGCTGCAGGGGCGCGTGCGAGCGTTTGTGCGTGCACGTGTGTGTGTACGCGCGGCGATTACTTTGGGGGTGAAAAACGGCGGCGGGCGGCGTAGGAAAATTATCGTCTAACGCGAGGCTGCGGGCAGAAGCGGCCGCCCAAGTCGTATCGTCCGTCTGCAACTTACTGCTGTGCCGATGGTGGTAGACATAACAACACAAGGGCTGCCGTCACCATCCCAGCAATCCCTGCACCCTCCTGCAAGAGCGAATCGTGCTCTCCCAATGATAAACCACACGATGTACACGGTGCACGACACAATTATATTTTCTTTTTTTTACGTGGCTTATACCCCCCCCCCCCCCCGATCGGCATTATGTGATCAGACGAAGTATCCTATCTGATTACTTGCAGAGCAGTGCCACCTCTTAACGTTACAGAACGGCCCGCGAAAGCAGCTATTATAGAACTACCTCCAAGGAACCTTTAAATGACTGCTTTTTTACGCAGTACAGCACAGCAATTTCCCACCGACAATGCCACAGAGAGTAATGTTTGTCACATTTAACAAAGTGAGAAATCGAGTAAACCAGAATAGTCTCATTTGCAACAGTGACCTGGGTATTTAATTTTTTTGCGTGTGCAGTCAATGTTAAGGAGTCATTGTTATCAAGATGAATAAACATTTCATAAAGAGCGACTGGAGTCGTTGGTGACCAGGCCTGGACAACATCAACTTATCCCACTTGTAAACACGGTTTAATCACAGGTGGCTACCCATATTCAATCCTAGGATCTCAGCAGTGCCAGCTCGGCGAGAGTTGAGCTCTGTGTCACCGCAGCCACCTCAATTTTACATATTAACACGGCTTCAAATGTCATGTCACGTGTAATGTTGTTGTAACAGCAGCAGTAGCAACTGTGATCAGAAAACATATGGGTGTTGAACGTCTTTCGCACTGTACGCAACCAACAGTGCTAATCGGTGGTGTGGAGGAAGGCCACCAAACGAAACACTAAAAGCAGGTCTAAATAAATTCTTTTTTCAATCTAGATTTAAAAGTGCATAGCTCCAGTGGCTTCCTAATATCAGAAGAGCGTTCCAGATGGCCGCAGAAGAGCATCTGAAAGCGTGCGATGCGGTGACCGTCTTTGTTCGATGGCTAGCCAAAAGCCGCCGCTGCGAGAAATGAAGGTAACATTGTCTTCATTGACCCCCAGATTACACCCAGCAGGGAAGGGAGGGCAGCTCTAATGCGGAGCCACCTCCACGTGGGGTCACCCTCCGCCTGTCTCGCCCGCGAGAGAGAGAGGATCAGGAGGCTGTCCCTGGGAGGCTCTCCTCGCAGCGAGGCCTTGTCGTGCACGGAGCCTCGCGCACACAGTGCCAATTTCGTTCGTGAAACTATTGACGAATATATAGTCGTCAACAAAGTGCTTTCTTTCTTTTAGTTTACGCCAGTGAACGATGAGTGGAGGGAAATCGTTGAGCGTGACGGTGACCGACTCTCCACCGATGATCAGAGCAGGATTGGCGATGGCGAGACGACATTAACTAGAGGAATCTAAACGAAGACGCAGACTAAGATGACTTAGTAATGTTACCGAGGCTGCAGCGCACCGAGCAACACCACACAATGGTACTTGGCTATGCAGTATACGTGTTAAAAGATTTACCGAGGTCAGCAATTGGGGGAAGAGGGAAAGCAGGGTGGGTGGTGGAGGGAAAAATCACGCACTAAGACGAGAACAAAATTCCACATCTTGCCGTCAACTGGACGGAGCCACACCTGAGCGAACGGCCACATGCAACCGAATCGCGAATACGCGTGGGCAACTCTGCAACCGGCCGCGTGCAGTGTTTAGTTGCTTACAGCGGAGACAGACTCTGGCGCTCAAAGTATCGGGGGACCCGCTCGGCGATGCGCAGCGGAAACGCGTCTCATCGCGTGCCATGCGTTTCTTTATTTTTTTGCGCGCACCGCCATCTTCGGCTGTTGCGATCCTGAATCACAACGTCGTGTTCGTCTCCTTGTTCCTGCGCGACCGCTCGCTCGGACGCGGGGGAAAGCAGCTCAGCGGGGGGGGGGGGGGGGGGGGGGGTGGGGATCCGATTCCGGTTGCACAACCGATGGCTCATCAGGCGTGGACCCCGGCTAAAGGCTACGGTCAAAATAAAAGGCCGACCACTACTAAACTAACACCGCCCACACTTTCCACATTTGGCTTTTGCCTTCGTGGGCCCCCATCGGCCTCGATGCCGCGCGCAGCACGCGCCGAGAAGCACCGCGCGGCGGTCGTGAATGCGGAACGAAAGGAACGCGTTTGTGGCTCGACCACAGCGAGATGATGGGAGGGGCAAGGGGTGAGGGGGGTGGTACGCAGACCCAGCGTAGACCTCCCCACCACCATTCCACCTGCAATGCCTTTTTACAGCTAATTTCAATGTACACAACACCTATTGCCTGGCAACAGCTTTCACACACTTGCCCATTATCTTCCCCCCCCCCCCCAATCAGGGCCATTCATGCTGCCAATGCCATGCCCGCATGGTATTGGCAGCAGTGCCTGCATGGCATTGGCTAGGGGTTCGGGGGGGGGGTGGGATGGGGCAGTGCGGTGCGGTGCGGTGGTTTAGCAGCATCGCACGACGAGTCCAGCGACCTGCCGGATGAGGGGCCTCCCCCACGCCGTGTTGCTCGTGGGTGGGCTTTTCCGACCATACTTCACCACATTGGTCAGCAGTGTGCGGGTTTTGATGAAAGGGGGTGCGGGGGGGTCTAGGACCGATTCAGATATCGCTCGCCATTTACGTTAAGCCGTGGCCAGAATTCTAACTCGGTTCGCCCGGTTCATAGATGCTGCCCAGTGAGGGTTTGGCGAAGAGAGGGGGAAGAGGGTAGAGAACTGGTTTTGACATCACTCGCCACTGATGTGAGCAGTGGCTGGAAATTGAACTCGGTTCGCCGGGGTTCATGTCGCAGTGCGTTAATCATGGTACCACCACACAGGATGATGTTGCATTACCTCATTGGGGGGTTGGGTCGGCTGCTTCTGTTCTCAAACATCTGTGTCCTGGAGGTCACCCTGCAGAGATCACACACAGCCATTAGAGGCTTTTAATTCCATGAACAAAATTACGACGCATTTGCATTGCACATCGATATTAATTTCATTTCACGTGCCAAATATATATTTTTTTATGCAATTTCACTTAAAATACTGTGAACAATTTTTCTGATTAGTTTTTTTTGTGTCAGGGTATTTTATTTTAAAGCTCAGAGGACAGAGCGATGATGAGCTGGCCAAGCTGAGCTCCTGGGTTCAAATTCGGGCAGCTGCCTTTGAATTGTTGGGTCTAAGCCCAGCACCAAAATACCATAATTCAATTTGGGTCAGCACTTAATTCGGCCTAATCCAGCTCTGATAATTAAAAGTATGCCTTTGACTGTCACGCAAATGTGAACATCGTTCTGTGGCAGGTGGGAAAGTGCTGCCCCCTATTGTGCATAAGAGGTTACCTGCAGGGAACTCAGAGGTAGATCTGCGATATCCGCATCTGTGGGCCATTCTTTAATACAGGGAGGTCGCACTGCTCTGCGAGAGTTTCAAACGGATTGTTCGTGTCATGACGCAACACGGATAGCACAATCGGCATAAAATTGGAGAGAAAAAAACGAAGCGTAAAAATGAATCTGACACCAAAAGCAGATCATTCCTAAATTTGACCGTACGTATATCCACAACCGTATCTCAAATGGTCACTCGCACAGCGTTCACCCAAACGTTAACTTTGCTGCTTGCTGGAAACAAGCCACTTCTTGGCTGTATTATCAGTTAGGCACCTACAGTTTGATATATGAAGGGAAGTAATGAAAATATTCGTTATTATATCCGTCCCTCTACCATCCGCGACGCAGAGGGGGGTGTAACGCGAGGTCAATTTCGCAGTAACGGAATTACAGCACGACGCAACAAGCCCGCGAGAGGCAACGTTTAACATTGGTAGCGTTGCGCATGTTAGGGCTTCTCAGTGTCCTCAAAATCAGCAAGTCGGTGCAATAGCCACGAAGACACCCAACTACACTCCGTCACCGCCGTGCGCACGATTCGCCCCAGCGCTGGGCTTGTAATTCCGTTACCGGAATCCCCGACGTTGTAACAACATTCAAACGGTTCCGGTCACAAGAGTCGACCGGCGGGTGCAGAAAGTGTTTTGGGGCCATCCATTTAGTACGTACGCATGGAGGGGGGAGAGGGGGGGGACTTACCCAAATGCGTACGCATAGGAAACAGGGGTTGGGGGGCGGTGAAGCCTCGATAATAATTTGTCTACGTTGGCCTTCAAATGAGTTTGATGGTCCGGCGCTGGACTATCTGTTTGCTTAAACACGTTAATATATTGATTAATCCCTGATCGTTTCTGCACGGCTTAAATATCAGACGTTCTATAGGATTCGGGGTTGGGGGTTGTGCGTCAAGCGTACATGCGCAGGTGGTGGGGGGTGGGGGGGGTGTAAAAAGTATGCGTGCGTACAGGGAGGCGGGGGGGGGGCTCAAGTTCTGACATGTTTTGCGTTCCTACTCAATGGATGGCCCCCTAATTCCCCGTGGATGGCTGACGCGCGTTAAGGAGTAGGAGGGGGGCGCACCACTCGACTTTGGGCTACGAAGGGTTAATAACGGAACGGGCGAGACGTTCTGCCCTGCGGTTAGTGGAGGTTAGTCGGCCACGCGGCTCGAGGTTGGTTGGCTGGCTGGCTTCACAAACTGTTCAACTGTTCCTGCGGGAGAAAACTCGTGACGCTCACAATGGAGCGACTTTTACCCCGCAGGACTCCCATCACGTGCGCGATTTTCTTTTTGCGCATCTGCTCAATTTTACAGGTTGCAAATTTACTCCCACCTCAGCCCGTGAAAAGGAAAATAATAAACCGCATTGTCAACGCAACAGTGGTGCTTTTAGCCACGTAGTCACGGGATGCACTAAACGTGGTCAAGCGGCCCTTCACTGGCCGGGCGAACAAATCTCCTTTCTTCGGCAAGTCCTCTCTTAACGCGTTTTGACACTGCAACGCGTTTTCTCTACGACTACGGACTACTTTATTACGGTACAGCACGGTACAGTACGTGGAATGATAGAGTACAAGGTGGCGGGTGCCCCCATTTCATTCCTTCGTCCAGCCATGGAATGACTGCAGGTTGATTTTACAGTGCAAATGCGATTCAGTACTGGAAGTGGAATTCCCCGCTTGACGCGGCACTTTTGAGGAAAGATTCTACGACGGCCGATGAGCACGGTTGGCTACGCACGATGCGAAAAAAGTTCAACATGCACACATATACAAGGGATTACTGTATATTCATAGATCTCTTTGGAATAAGACTGTTTTAAGTTTGTTGCAAAACTGGCTCAAGAGTGATACCTAAACCTGGCCCACCGCCCCCCCCCCCCCACTTCGTTCACACGCACTGACACATCGTGGTGAACTTTAGTCGAACAACCCCCCCACGACCAACATGGTGTGAGGAAGCCTTCATCCAGCAGTGGATTGACAACCGACTATAAACTAGAAATTAACCACGCTACGACACCATCATCGCAAGACTGAGAGAATGGCGACAGCTTGGGGGAGCATTAATCCAGCAGCGGATTGATCATGTCTTGATGATGACGATTACAAAAAAAAACCCGTCAAACTCACGGTAGAATATTGTTTCGGCAGTGGCAAGCAAAGTTTAAGTGAATTCTTGTCAGAAAGGGTTTTTTTTTTCGTTTTTTGTCTTTCGATAACAAACTAAAAAAAAAATTCCGCTCAGGTCAAGGTGGGTGAGTGGGTGGGTGGGTGAGTGGGTGGGTGAGTGAGTGGGTGGGTGAGTGGGTGGGTGGGTGAGTGGGTGGGTGGGTGAGTGGGTGGGTGGGTGAGTGAGTGGGTGGGTGGGTGAGTGGGTGGGTGAGTGGGTGGGTGGGTGAGTGGGTGGGTGGGTGAGTGGGTGGGTGAGTGGGTGGGTGGGTGAGTGGGTGGGTGGGTGAGTGGGTGGGTGGGTGAGTGGGTGGGTGGGTGAGTGGGTGGGTGAGTGGGTGGGTGGGTGAGTGGGTGGGTGAGTGGGTGGGTGAGTGGGTGGGTGGGTGGGTGAGTGGGTGGGTGGGTGAGTGGGTGGGTGGGTGGGTGAGTGGGTGGGTGGGTGGGCGGTGGCGGTGCGCCACGGTCTGTGGTCGGGAGCGGCGCTGGGACCGATCGTGATGAAGCTGGAACGCACGAGAGCACGGCCACTCAGCACAGGGCGAAACCGCAGGTGGTGAGGTTTTTTGTTTTGTTTGTTATCAGCGGTCAGAACGGAAAGAAAAATAAATAGAGTTCAAAAAAATGTTCATTGCTGTACCAAAAGTTGGTGAACTGAATCCGCAGACGGGGGGGGGGCGGGGGGGGGGGGGGCAACGCCGCTATTTACGGCAAACGAGAGTTGACCTTAAAGAAAGCAAACGCCGGCTCAGCGAACCGTGTGAGCTCCAGGATAAAAGAGCATCGGCTCAAACATTCTGCAGGATTTTCCTTTTCATCCCCATCGATTCCTCCCCCCCCCCCACGCCGCCCCTGCCCCCCTCCTACCACCCGCTGCTAAAAAAGACGCGAAAGAGGATGTGGGTCGCGCGAGCAGACGTAAATATTTACGGTTTTACACTTCAGGTACGCGTTGCTGAGTTTCATCGAGCGGCGCAATCTACCCGTTAAAATACTCCGGCACGCGTGGTGGAGGGGCTCCTAAAATACACCCTTCTTCCTCTTCGCAAACGAGAATGCACCGGTCGTGCGAAAATGTCGACGCTTCCCCCATCTCGTATAGCTCAAAACCACGTTGCATTCCCGCGTGCGAAGTTGAAGCGAGTTCTCGCGGAGGGCTGGCTTGCTTAGGTAATTATACGTGTTGCACGGCGAGTACGACGTCTTAGGCGTGGATTTTGCCCCAGGAAAAAAGATTCCTCCCCCGATGAGATGCCTTTGTTATAAAATGTAACGCAGAGCTGCCCCGCTTACAAGACAGCCAAGGCCGTAGCCATGGAGCCAACATTGGGGGGAACCAAATCTTCCAGGGGGTCTGGGGGTCCAAACCCAGAAAAAAAATCTACATTTGAAAACTAATTTCCTGCCTAAAATATAAAAAAATTCACTAACACATGGGATAGACTTTTCATTTATTTTTTTACAATGTCTAATAGTGTATTGTATTACATTGCTCTGTTTTTACTTTTTTTTACCATTTCTTGTTTCATTGTATGCAATGGCAGAGATTAGGGATGAATAAAGTACAACCATAACCACAATCATATAAACAGAAATCTATGCATTGATTTATATGAAGACAAGTCCAGATATTGTGGCCAAGGTTTAGCAAATTGTTGTTTTTATTTACATAGAATAGCAATTTTTTTAATAGCAATATATTGGGGGGACATTTTGCGCAGATTTGAATATTGGGAGGGATGTCCCCAACCCAATATATATTATAATTACGGCCTTGCAAGACAGACACCATCGTTCAGCGCATTAACGTACCGCCACAATCGCCGGCTCTAGCCGTATATTCGTCGCAGCGCAGAAGAGTAGGAGAAACATCCTCTAAGAGGGGATGGTACCTCTAGAGCTTCCTCGAGTGGAAGACCTTTCCAGCCAGCAGAGGCGTGAGCAAGCAATTGCAGGGCTGTGCCTTGACCTGCTATGTATGTAAATAAGGGAGGTAGTGGGTTCGATCCAGACCCTGACCCCTGTATATTTGGAGTTTGCTTCTCTCTCTCTCTCCCCATGGTCGCGTGGATTTTTCTCCGGGTCCTGCGGTTTTTCCCTCCCCATTTAGAATGAACATCACGCGTTTGGGCTATTTGACTGCTATAAATTTCCACGCGAAAAGCCACTTCGTTGAGCCATCGTTTGCGGTGGCCAGGTCGCTCCTGAAAAATAGCTCGATAGCTCAGTGGGGCCTCACCTGGCGAAATTTCCTTTTTTTTACCAATGTTGAATTTTTTGCATGCACCCTACGTAGCCAACGGCGGCTAAACGATAGTTTTGTGTAGGGGTTGAGAGACGAAGCGGTGATTTCCGCAGCCGAGAACGACGTTTCTTTTGCCAGTTGAACAGTTTGTCAGCGCAAGGTTTGCCAGCGTTAGTGTGGGGTTAATTTCAGAGCCACAATCGTCATCATTTTCTTCGCGTGTGTGCGGGTAAAAACACATTTTTCACTTTGGGACCGCCGGATTTGCCTGAACGTTTTGAGTTGGCTGTAATTTAAAAAATGGCAGGCTATGTATGACTAATGCATTTATCTTGGTGAAAAGCCTATGGCGTGTGGGCGCGCGTGCATAAACGGTCTTCGTGCGCACACACACACGCACGCACGCACACATATTTAGTAATATTTAGCACATTACTACAATCCTGCCATTATAATAAAAAAATGGAAGTTGCAAACGCGGTTTTATTGTACAGCTGAAAATCCAATTAGGTAAATGCACAATTTGAATTACCTTTTAATCAAGTCATTATGTAAACACGTGACAACCGCAAACACGTGCTGCACAACAGAACGCTCGCGTGTTTCGTGGAATCCACGCGAATACTGCGTAACGGTGTTGCAAAACGAACGATGGCAACTAGTCGGTTCGAACAATTAAGCAATGTTTACATCGTATGTTCAAACAATTCACCGAATCCAAAGTGTGGTGCTGCTCAGCGCTCCGATTAATTTTTGGCTTGTACCCCTGCGTGCTGTTCGGCACCATAACCGACGTTTCGCTCCGCGGGCGGGGGAGCTTCTTCAGCTCCTGAAGCTCCCAACACGAAACGTCGGATGTCATGCCAAGCACCCCCCATGTTGGAGAAAATATAGCTTTCATTTCCCCTCTGTGCTAGGGGCGCCAGCTCAGCCTAGGCTTGCCGACGGAGTGCCCTCGCCGATTTCGAGCTGAGATAATGACGAGGACTGTGGCTCTCACGGGGCAACGATTCGTGGGCGGGAACACGATCTGATGCACGTGTTGGCCCAGCACTCCTTTAGCTCGCGCACACAGCGCCAACTCTTGGCCACGTTACTGCACGGGAAGCGGCAACGTACGCGGATCGTGCTGCACAGGAAGTGGCAATGCACGTGGATTATGCTGCGCAGGAAGAGGCAACGTACATGGATCGACGGCGGACTGGAGTCCTTCCCTGCCGAGCACAGCAGGGTTCTTCCGCACTACAGCCCTCCGGGAAGCCCGGCTCGCCCGGGTTAGGGGGCGAGAGGCTGGGAAAGGGGGGCGGCAGGCGGTCAGAGAGACGGGAGGGAGAGTGGGTGCGTAAGCGGTGGTGGTGGGAGGGGGGGGGAAGTGGAGGGGAGGGCCGGCACCAAAATCCAAAACCGAAAACACGTTGAGGATCAAAAGGAAACAAAACAGATGCGGAGTGCAGAAGCGAAAAAAACGATAACAAAGCGGAGAAACACGAAAGCATGCGGCGAACAAAATAATGTGTGAGCGGGGACTGTCGCCGTCAAAATAGCAAACGCACGTTAAGTGCGAAGTGACGAAAACTCAAAAGTAAATTGGCAAAGGTGCTTCGTGGTACTGGACGATTAAAAAGGAAAAGCTTAAACCACAAATAGCCTTTTTAATGAATTGTTTAGCCAGCACAAGTAAACGCACGAATCGGATTAAACGAAACCAAATAAATAAAGTTTGGGGATTAGTAGCAACTGGAAATTTAAACAAAAACTAAGCCAACGCCTAACTTTGTTTTATTGTTTCTCAATGTGGCCGAGGTCGCTGATCGCGAAGGGGCCCACGATCTCAACGCGGGCGCGAGAATTAGGGCGCGCACCGCAGGCGACACGGAGACAGGGGGGGAGCTCACATGGCTCGCGGAGTCTATGGGGAGCGTCCTCATCACAACCGCGTCTTCCCACACGCACAACCGTTTGAAGGAACGGGTATTCAATTCCGGGAGAGTGGTGGCGCAGCGGTTCAGTGATAAATAAATATTCATTACTTATTTATTACTGGAGGAATCCGATGAGCTGTAAAAGCTCTTTTTTTTCCCTACAGATACCCAGCTCGCCACGCCGTGAACCCAGCGACCCAAGTTCGATTGACGGTCGCGACTCATGTCAGCGCAGAGTGATATCCGAGCCGGTCCCGGCCATCTCCTTCACTCACCCGCACTGACCAGCACGGTGAAGTATGGCCAAACAGCCCCCCATGGCTGATACGGCGTGGGGGGGGGGGACGCCATTGTCCCAGTGTTGGGTTTGGGATCAATGAGGGGGCTTGTAAATCAACCGACGCAGCGTACGACCTCAATGCACTCATTAAGTTTAACACGTAGGAATGTGCTTTTTGTTTGCATTTTGACCACAAGTATTGTGGTTAATGCACACATGATTCCTCGTAAAAAGGTTTCAGTTTTGTTGCCAGAAAAAAGAGAAAAAACCCTATTATTATATTTTGGTACTGGCAAAGGAGGTCTAATGATGTAGTAGGAGGCTTTTGCCACCAATATTATCCATGATAAAGTTTTTTTTGGGTTGGATCGCCTAATTATAAATGTGCCGTTAAACTCGCCACCGACCGATAGAGCCAATTAGTAAGGTTTTATAACGTAAACAAAACGTGCTAATAAAGTTACTGCTTCATCATCACCGGTGTGTCGGAGAGGAAACCCACAACATCTACAATTCGAGTGTGACGTTTCGCTGGAGATTACATCATTTAAATGTACAGAAATACGGAGATTTCAGAATAACCATAATGAGAATGGCATCACAACATAGCATTCGATTGCTCCAGGTAACCAATACCAAGGGAGGCACGCAACACTTCACGCATTCCAGGCGTCGCAACACCATTCAGCATTCTCCTTCTTCTCGGCCCAAAGTCCCATTATCATACTCGGTCGGCTGCTCATAAATTCTTCTAACCTGTGCCTCTCTTCTGAATAAAGAAGTCCACTTTGTCCTGTATGTATCATCTCCCCCACCCCCCACCTCGACCTCCCTCTCGACTCCATCTGCCCTGCACTGGTGTCATCTCCACAGCCCTTCATCATCTTTGCCTCTTCTTATTCCATGGCCAAACCGTGCCAGTTTAGCCTCCCTTTACCTACTCCAGAATATTAGCCAACCTGCCACTCCAACCAACCTAGCCCACCATCCCCAACCCCCCACGCAAAAGGCTGAATCAGCATATGTATCCTGGCTCAAGCGTCTTCATTCCACCCCCCTCTTGTTAATGCTGCCACTTCAAAATGCAAATTAAGTCCTTCCCATTATGCCCAAATCTGGTGATTTGGCAGAAACATTAAAAGTGGCTTGAATTAGATTTTAAGATGCCCTGATAAAGGATCAAAATTGTACCCTTTCCCACGACCGACACCTACACACAAATATCTAAGATCGATACACACATGAAGATGAACATCCTCCCACCCCCATATCGTATTTAAAAGTGCGAGCAACTATTGTTCGAGATCACATAGACTCACACAGACCCACAGACGCAAACATACACAACAACAACAGCCACTATTTGCCACTAAGTGAAGGTGACATCGTCGCAGCACCTAGACCAGGATAACAAACTCGATTATATGCCTACACATACAAATAAAATGTTTTTCTGTCATCGGCCTTTTGGCCGTCTAGTACAATAGTATCCAGTAGCATTTAACTAAACAACCTGTGTTTGCCGGTTTCGACCTTCTGGGTCTCATCGGCAGTTCAGACTTTGTTAAACAATTGATGCTGGGTCTCTAGATGTTACTGGTGAGAGCACGGCACGTAAACGAAGGGGCCCATGTTCAACGCTGACATATTGTGTGTGGAGACCCACGCGCGCACGCGCAACACGTACGGGGAGTGGTTGCGCCCGACGCCGTCCTCCGCCGGCTCGGCGTTCCCCAAGACGACGCGGGGGTTGGAGGGGCCGCCGTGCCGCTTCATCTTGTCCAGCAGGGCAGCGGGGCCCGCGGGCGGCGACGACGGGATCGCCGCCATCGCCGCCTGGCCAGGGGCAATGGCGGGCGCCGAGCTCACCGACACTGCGGCCGAGGCACCAGCACCAAAACTGCCACGGCCGCCGCCGCTGCCGCCGCTGCCGCCGCTGCCGCCGCTGCCGCCACCGCCACCTGGCACAGGCGGTGGCGGCTGCGGTGGTATCATGGGTCGCTTAACGCTGCCGTTGCGGCTGCCGGACCTGGCTTCCTCTTGTCGGGGGGGGGGGGGGGGAGACAAGAGAGAGGGCAGACCATGTCAGCCGCACGTGGTGTACTTTTGTTGTTGTTGTTGTTGTTGTTATTTTATTGTACTATTTTATATTTTACCGAGCACAGGCCCAGAAAGAAAAAACACGATCCTGGGTGTTCGAGCTCCACTTAGAGGTGGAGTGGAGGTTGGGCAGGGGGTGGTGAAGGGCACTTACTGCTGCTGGAGCGTGCAGAACTCGTGGGGGGGTCTGGAGGGCGGTACGGGGGGGGCTTGCGGATCGACAGCCGATACCGCCTGGCCCGTGCCGAGATGTGCGTCTTGCGGAACTCGCTGTGGTTGCTCGGAACTTTTTTGAAGATCTGCGAGCGGGCAAACAACAGGACATTGCCGCGCCGTGCCTTAGAGGGGGAAGAATAACACTACGGGCAGAAAGTGAGTGAGTAATGCCTTTCTAACCGCACGGCGCATTCATTCGTCATCCACACGGGAATTATTTTCTTTACATAAGTTTGGCAGAAAAAGTACGCTCTGAGCTTAGGAACCACTTGCTCCCGGTAAACAGACAAGGACGAATGTTTTTTTTTTGTTTAAAATGTCGGTTTGCTGTGTTAGAGTGTGAATATTTTTTCAAACCAGAAATATAACAAAGATGTTAAATCGTTTTTCTTTCCTTACAAGGAAGCCTTTTTTTGCTTGTTCAAAATGAAGTAAAAAAATATGTGAATCGAAGAACAAATTAAACCCAAAGATTTTCTCATGGACTGGCTCTTCATAAAAGCACATCGAATAGCTTCTTGTGATCCACAATCACTCGACCTTCTTGACGGTCATGAAAGGCGGTACCGGCAGCTCCCAGCACATTGGCAAAGGTCTACAACGTTGGTCTGTCTCCGTGCAAGAGATATTTGAACCAAGGCTTCCAACACGAACAGAATATAATTCTGATCAGCACGTGGGGACTTTACCTCCTGAACTGAAGCCGCCGCTGTTAATTTGTTGCCGTTGCCTGTAAATTAGCCAAATCCAAGGGGTAAAAAATGCCGAGCGATGTAAAGCAAGGCTGGAAGTGGTCTTCTGTGCTCGAGTCCAGCCCTCGGCCACGATGCCGGCTCGAGGAGATCGGTCTCGGGTCCTCCTCCTTGCCTCAATCCGAGAACTTGGCCTCAGGGGACCCAGCCTTGGCCAGCGTCAACCACCTACATCAGTGTTCTTCATTGCAAGGCCCCCCACGGGCTACTGGCGGCCCCCCCTGTGGCCTTTCGTACGCCCCCCTGACGTGCGATCCCCGACCCCCCCCCCCCGACGATGCACAAATGTGAAAACACCCCCCCCCCTTCTCCATAATATAGTTTTTTTGGGGTTAGATCGCGTAAATATAAATGTTTCGTTAAACCCGCCACAGCCAACTGGTAAGGTTTGTCACGTAAACAGAACATGCCACTTCGTCACTGGTACAGCACTAACCGGTGCGTTGGAGTGCAAAGCCACAACATTTACAATCTGAGTACGTCGTTTCGCCAGTAATTACAACTAGCATCATCTTGCGGATTTAACGACACATTTATATTTACACGATCTAACCCAAAAAAAAAAACCTGTATTAGGTATGACATTGGTCGCAAAAGCCTAAGTGTTAAATACCCCCCCCCCCCCCGACCATCATCATCGTGCTGCCAAAGCCCAATGGTTTCAAATGTGTGCCGCCCCCACCTCCGAAAATTAGTGAAGAATACTGCCATAGGGGGTCTGGCCTCGACTGGCCTTTACACTGGCCTCCAACCGAAAAGACTTTGTCCTCGGCTTGCCCTTGTGGCTCTCACCCTTGACTTCAGCCCTCTCTACGAGGAATATCAACTAATTTAAATCCCTTCTTCTTCTTCTTCTTTCGTATGGCATTGTGAAAAGCAACAGTTTATATTTTTTTCTATTTAAAGCCCTTTATCAAGGGGAGGTCCAGGACCCGTTGCAGTTGTCACTTTACACTGATGCTGAACTATGTTTAGGGTAAAACGAACTCGGGTCGCTGGGTTCAATCTCACGGCATGCGCACTTGGCGTGCGGCGGCAGCGGCTCCCACGTCTGCCGCCGCCGCCGCCGCCACAATGTGATGAGACGAAAATGGAACGGTGCAGTGGAGACGTGCAACACGAGCGAGACGGACAATACCAATGATGTAATAATAGGGGTTTTCCCCTTTTTTCTGGCAACAAAACTGAAACCTTTTTACGAGGATTCATGTTACTGCATTAACCACAATACCTGCAGTCAAAATACAAAAAAACAACATACTATGATAATCAGTTTAACACGTAGTCTTTCGCGACCAATATTATTCATAATAAAGGTTTTTTGGGTTAGATCACGTTTATTTATAAATGTGTCGTAACCCTCCACCACCCGACACGGCCAATCAGCAAAAAAAGTGTCACGTTGACAAAGGACAAATAATTCACTACTTTAGCCCACCGGTGTGTTGAAGAGTGAATCCACATTTACAGTTTGAGTACGACGTTTCGCTGGTAAATACATCCAGCATGTGGATTCACTCTTCAACACACCGGTGGGCTAAAGTAGTGAATTATTTGTCTTTTGTCAACGTGACACTTTTTTTGCTGATTGGCCGTGTCGGGTGGTGGAGGGTTACGACACATTTATAAATAAACGCGATCTAACCCAAAAACCTTTATTATGAATACTATGATAATATATGCATTGTCCTTGAAACTGATTGGTCCACACCATGGGACGGCTTTCTTTTGAGCCTCGACCCAATTGGTGCTCGACCAGATGACGCCACAAGGCGTGAATGATGCCAATGATGCCAATGATGCGCACAAATGCACGACACGCAATACAATACAACGGAAAGAGGGAACCGATTCACGAGTTAAATTGCGATGCTCTCAAACCACGACAACTCATTGGATCGCGACAACAAAGAAATGAAAACGAATTTCTATGGGTCTCTGTGGGTTTCTGTGGGTCTATAGAAGTCTGTGGATCTCTGTGGGTCTCTATGTGTCTCTTCCTTCCGATATTTGGAAGCCACTGGAGCAATGCACTTTTAAAGCTAGATTTTCAACTAATTTCTTTAGAACTGCTTTTTGTGTGTTTAGTTTGTTGTCCTTCCCCCGCACCTCCGATGAGCACGGTTGGCTACGTACGGAGCAAAAGAAGTTTAACATTCATACGGCAGTCAATCCGATACTTTTAAATCTCAAGAGCTGGAATTTAGGCAAAATTAAGTGCAGCACAATAAGTGAATGTGATAGGGTTTCTTTGGAGCCATTGGTGAAAGGGTTGAGATCATCAACTCACGACACTTGAGGACCCGGTTTATCGATAGGCAGCTGCCTGTATTCGAACCTAGGACATCAGAGGTGCCAGCTGGATGATTTATACAGGGTGCTTCAATAAAATGGGACTCATTTTTAATGGAAAGAGAACGGATAATGCACTGTAACATGATAACAAGTGTGATGTTAATAGCTTCAAAAAGTCAGAGTCTCCCACTTGTTCGCCATCGTTGTCAACACGTGGCCTGGAATCTTCACCAGGCGGTCTCGAATAGGTGGTCTTTGGGTCAAAATATACTGGGATGCGGGATTGTAGGGTTGAACAATAGTGGACGGTGGAATTAGAGGGTCCCATGCAGAATTCTACTCGAGGTCTCCAGACACACCCACCAAGGTTGGTAGAACGGTGGGGGGGGGGGGGTGGGGAGCGCACGTGGAAACGCCTGCACACCTTGTCGTAGTTTTCCACGAGGATCTCGATGACGATGTTCTGGAACTTGATGTCGATGAGGGCGGCCACGGTCTCCACCTCGGGCCTCATCACCGTGGGGCCGAAGCACACGGCCAGGTTGGCCACGGTCATGAGGTTCTCCTTGCTGTGGCTCGCGACGCTGCACGCGGTGACACGCGGGAAAGACACGTCACGCCGGGGGCCCAGACAACGCCGGTGGGACGATGGCGCACGGCCCAGCGCCGGGTGAGCCACCGGCGCGATGGCCACCCCGGACCAAATCTCAAGGTCGCACTCGCTGCCGCCTTACAAAGATCCCCACCCCCCAACCCCCCCCCCCCCCCCCCCCGGAGGCATTCGTTCCCTCGCCTCCGCGTCCACTTGATTCGCCCACTCTCAACAATAACGCCACTCCTCTGGACAATGGGCTTGTTGTGGGTCATCAGAATTTGTTTTCTTCCAGGACACCCCTCAATTCATTCTGCTCCAATCTGGTCGCTAAAGTGCTGGAAACACAAAATCCTTCGCCCCTGGCGATGAACTCGCTGTTCCAGCATCCAAGGCTCTCTGCGGAGGCCCCCTGTCAAACCTATGCTGAGTGGGGGGTCGCTCACTCTCTTCTGCTGCCCCCACAGTCTGCAAATCCCTTAACCCTTTCGAACGTCATAAGTTTTTCTTCCACCTCCTCCCTGTATAAAATAACGTCATCAGTACCGAGCCTCCCACAAGGCCATGCGGGAAGGCGTGTGGCAAAGTTTGACACCGGCTACCTTAGAGTGTGGTCGTGTCACTACAGTTGTTTGCGGTGAGTAAAATGTGTCTTTAAAAACAGCGGCGCTATACCTCTAAATCAAATTAACGCTAACCGCTTGCGCGTTTCGAGATTCGGTGGTGAACGGGACCCCACCCTGCAACTTGCAGACGCCTAGGAAGAGCAAAGGGTTAAATAAAAAATGTTTATGAATTGGCGAGATGATTCGGGCAGTGGCCCTGCTCCATAGCACACACAGAAGCCAGAGAGATCGAGTGGATAATAATAATAATTATAACAAGGGCTGGAGACTGAACCTAACACCATCAACGAATAGTTCGCATCAACAACGACCGGTCGGTCGATCAGTTCTCACGATCCAGGCCCCAGGAGTGAATGCATGTGACACTTTGTGCGTACCGATCGGCAAGCGAGCGAGAGAGCAAGCCTTTCCCCGATGCTTCACAGCAGCTCACGTGCATGCGGTGGCTGGGCAGACGTTATGGACGTTTTTATCATTTTCTTTTTAACACATTTTTTTCCTTTTATAACAAGTCGCCCGCTGTGAAATATTTGCGGCATGGTCTATACGGGGCCCGGACTCCCAACTTTTATTTGTTTAATAAAGGAATGCTTGCGTGACTAACATCCGCTTCGCCAAGCCACGCTCACCAGCTTGGTGAAGTATGGTCAATAAACCACCATGACCCACACCCACACAGCATGGCAAAGGGCTGTACGTAATAATAATAATTGTGGTGCCGAAATGTCTTTGTGCCAGGGGCAATGTGCGTTCGGAAGGCATTTCACAGCGGCATCCTGAGGGAAAAACCCGCACACAGAGGGAATGTTTTCAAATGTTATCACTGTTGCACTGGTGGTGTAGCAATGGCACAGCAGCTAGCGGACTGCTCTGCGAACCCAGTGACCCGAGTTCGATTTCCAGCAATGGCTAACACCGTTGACGAGATACCTCAATCGTAACGAGCCTCTCCTCAATCGAGCCAGCAGACAATTTCTCTTATACTCGACTACGAGCCACCGGTCCCCTCCACACTGTACGTACGTGTGTACGTTGAACTGATTTCACGCTGTACGTAGCCAACCGTGTTAATGAAACGCGTCGCGTCGCCAAGCCAAATGGCAGCAAGCACCGGCCTGCATCGGCCAGCGGCCGAGGGCGGCGCGAGTCGGCGAGGAGCGCGGGGAGAGCGCGGGGAGAGCGTGGGGAGAGGGTGGGGAGAGTGCGGGGAGAGCGCGGGGAGAGCGCGGGGAGAGCGCGGGGAGAGCGCGGGGAGAGTTACTTGGAGATGTGGGCGATGATGATGTTGAGCATTTGGCGGTGCGACTCCGGGAGGTCGTACACAAGGCCATGCACGCACTCGATGCGGTCCTCCTCGTTGTCCATTTCTGCGCGCGCGGTCGGACACGGTCGTGGTACGTTAGCAAAAGTCGTCTTTTTTTATTGTTGTTAAAATTATGTTTTTTTGTCCCCCAGTTTCATCCCGGTTGTGCAATCGGGGTCACGTCGCGAGATGGAGGCTCCAATGCAGATCACGAGCAGAGCAAATGCAACCCTTTCGTAGACGAGAACGGCCCACGGAAGCGGATATCACAGAGCTACCTTTCAGATCCCTGCTGGTCCACACAGTAGTGGGCAGTACTCTCCCCCACCCACCCTGTTACAGAGAGCAATGTCCATCACATGACAGCCAAACCGAATATTTGTTTTTATCCTCGGAGCTGGAATATAGGCAAATTAAGCCCAACACCACAGTTAATGTAATGGCATTGTATTGTGCAGCCGTCAGTAAATAGTTCGAGACCATAAACTCAATGCGACTCGAGAACCCGGTTTTACCAGACGCGGCGGAAACCTGAAAGGAAACAGAGGATCTCAACGGTGGCAAGCTCAGCTCTCCAACCTCTGAGCCACCCGGCGGCCACCCCCGTTGCAATGATGCACACACGTGTCCTTTTTTTGTGCAATACAAAGCGGCGCGCGGAAGCCATTGTCGGTGACGATTGTCAGCGGCGATTGCCTGGAAATTTCCCTCTTGTGTGACGCGGGCGCGGCGGGGTGAAGAGTCGGCGATGCCGCTAGCCCGATACAACACAGGGCGCTCCGCCGCCAACACCATCTGTTCCTGTTGTCCGCTAAGGAGACGCAGCGCTTGCAGGCCCGAAGGGAGCTGGCAGTTCAAATAAATAAATACATAATTATGCGCTGGCCAAAGGTGCAGGCCTTAAAATGCTTGCTCACGAAGCTGCTGGTGGAAGGGCCTCCACTCGAGGAGGCTCAAGAGCGCCCCCCCCCCCCCCCCCTTTGCAGTTTTTTGAGGCTCACTCTTTCACGCCGGCTCGCTCGAGGAGGGGAGCACCCACACTTTACTCCACCGCACGCGACCTGCCCATCGACAAACTGCCCTGGAACCTGTTGGTGCTGCGGCTGAGTTGACACGAGGTGAGGTTTAAGACACCCTGCGCCAACCGTTTCAATCGCCACAGCGGAAGATCAAATTGAAACCTGTGACCTCTGGATCGCAAGTCCAGCGCGCCGACCGTTAACACCGCGGTAGTGTCCCCCCGCGGTTAAATCGCCACCGTAAATGAGCTTGTGTTTTTTTTTTCCCCCTTTCATCATAGTAACCGGTTGGGGTTTTGTTCTTAAAGCTGTAATCCTAACGTGATCGATATCGAGAGATGAGCACGGATAATGGCATCGATTGTACAATTACGCAGCAGCTACATTGAGCAGGACAGAGAATCAATTAAAAAGTTGGGTTTTTTTTTTACTCAATCGGAAAAGCTTCAATGGAAACTAGAAAATCTCCACTCGTGGCCCTTGAGCAACTCTCCCAAAAATTTCTTCTCAGTACCACGCAGGGTGAAGGAGGAATGGGGCACCCAAGTCCGTACGCGGTGGCGAGATGTTAACTACCTTGCCTGGTATACAGGAGGTCATGGGTTTGATCCTGACCCTGATGCCTGCTTTATATATTTGGGGTTTGCACGCTCTACCCGTGCGTATTTGGCTGATATAAATTTCCACGTGATAAGCCATTTAATTGAGCTATCATTTGTAATAGCCAGGTCACTTCTGAAAAAAGAGCTATATAGCTCAGTGGGCCTTACCTGGTAAAATAAAAAAAACCATATATATTGTAGTTTAGTACAAATCGGTCAGCTATTTACTTGCTGTACTGCCTCTTATAAATCACCTTAAACTTTCCCGATCATGCGAGCTTTACGGAAGCTACGCGAGGTTGAGCTCGGATATGACCTTGGAAGGGCGAATGCCTGGGAATGCCACGTGCTGTAGGCTGGCCGATGGCAAGTGCAGCAATGTTTACTTGAATCCATCTGTGTAGAGATATTTAAATTCCATCCCCTCCCCGAGAACTCCTAACCCAAACGGTGGCACTGGCCAAACCTTCCCAATGCAGGAGCCTCCTGACAAGGAGTCATGAGACTCCACGAGACTTTCCTGGGTAAATAAAGAGGCGTTGTTGCTGCTGTTGCAGGCACGTTGCAGGCACGTTTCAGGGTCGTGATCGGACATTGCCTTTGTCTTTTCAAACCGCCAATTCAAGAATCAACTCCTCTTTCTATCCTTGAGCCAATATAAGAGTAGCACCTCTAAATGGCTGCAGGGGTAAAATAAGATACCATCTTGTGGGAAGGTCAACAGTGATTGTCCTATGGATGGACTTACCCCTGCCATAGGAATGATGAATTCCACCAGTGGCTCAGGACTGTAGATGGGAGATGCGCACCAGTGCATCAATACTCATTTGAGCAGAAAATCACCTTGACTTTGTTTAAATTGCTTCCACACGTGGGTGAATCAATGCATCGTATCACGGCATTCATATTCATTGCGAGGTCTAAGGCACGAGTGTGAGAACACCTGGCTGGCGTAGATCCTTAACAACATACTTTGTACAAATGTAGGATTCCTACGGAATGTTTATCATCGCACCGTCGCATAACTCCGCGACTCTAATTATATTCTCATGAGCCAAGAAAGGAGTCTGCGATTTTGTTTTTGCGGCAGTGTCAGTGGCATGCAGCCGATCCACACAGGGACGGGGGGGGGGGGCAGAGAGGAATAAAACAGCGGTGTAAAAACAAGAAATTGGCATTACCTTGGGTCGAACTCGGAAAATTGCAGCGATTAGCTTGCGCTGCCAGAGAGCGTGCCCGGGTTTGGGAGGGGGGGGGCGTTGCAAGCGGTCTATTTGGCAGACAAGGCCCGGCGCTAGACAGGATTCAGCACACGCTGCGATCCGGCACGAGATAGCATTGTCTTAATAACAGAACGGTGCCCTCGTTTCAACCGGTGCCTTGCAGGTGACGACCGCACTTAAGAGATGGGTTAAAGGGTGGGTTGCGGTGCTTTATCTCCAATGGCAGGCCGGCGCCAATGGTGGAAATTACACGTTCCCAAGGCAGGGCCAGGATATGCTTAAGAGCACTGCTGACATACAATTAAATTGGGTGCTTGCTTTATTGACCCTGGTGAGATGATGGATTTGAATTTGCATTCTTCCAATCGTGCCGAACGCTCATTCAAGTGTGACAACCAACTCGACCCGTCTGGAATCTCCAGACGAACGACAGCAACCACCCGCGACTCTGTTGTGAGACGTAGCGTCTTGTTAAGAGCGTTATCATCATGTTTTAATATCAATTAACATCGCTTCTTGAGCTCCGTTTTTCGATTCGAGGCCAATCACGAGCGCCGGCACAAACGCAGTGAAAAATCGGACGACAATTCTACGCGACGTTAAAAAAGTTCGGCGACGGTGCGAGGTTGCAGCAAGTGAAGTTGTGGGCAACACGAGGCAACAAACTCCTTTTTCACCGCGTCGCTGCAATTTCGCCCAAACCCCCCCCCCCCCCCCGACTTTAATCATTAAGTAAGCGCTTAGGCATTTCTAGTTTTAAGAGATAACGCAGATGTTTCGATCAATGTTTTTTTTTTGTACCTTATTCTCTTAAATGTTTTCTTCTACTTTCAAAAACATCTGATAAAAATCCATCCATTTCTCGTGACTCACTGGCAGCCGTGATGAAACGCTGATGCAGCCTGAAGGTCATGAGTGGTTCGGGGAGATTCCTGCGGCAGAAAAGGTGAAATACGGACAATGAGTTTTTAAGACCGAGGCATCGAACGGGCTCGGCGAACAACAAGGGAAGTGGGGGGGGGGGGAGATGTGGTGGGGGACGTGGGGAGGGGGGCTTGGGAGATGGTGCAGTGCAAAATAAAATGGGAAAATATTTTCAGAAACCTGAGAAAGGCCTTCACAGTGCCACTCAATATCTTCACATCCCAGAGGTCATCGTTCTCCAGGTCAAGGTCATCCAGCGAGTGGCACTCTAACGGTGGGGGAGGAGGGGGGGGAAGGAACAGCAACACAATGAAACCATCAATTCCCTGCCACAAATCGGGCGACAGTCTGTCAAGATACCACATCTCCCATCTCCTGCTGCAAAAGGAAACCTGGATAACCGCGCACGGCTTATTTGTCATCATTGTTTCATAATTTATCTGCCTTGTTTTTTACTTTGTATTCGGATTGGGTCAAAAGGTACGCCGGTTGGATAGGCGGCACACGCTGGTTTTCAAGCATTGCACAAAAAACCTGGAAAGCCGAATTTGATTCCCAGCCACGGCTATAACATCGGTAGCGAGTGATATGCAATCTGGTTCTGGACCACCCCAACTGTCCGACCAGCAAGGTAAAGTAGGTAAAGCATGGGCCCACAACGCCCATGACCAACACAGAATGAGGGGGGGGGGAGGGGAGGGAATGCCTTCATCCAGCAGTAGACAAAGGGCTGTACGATAGAAAGGCTGGCAGCTACACACCGTCCTTGCCACCAAGTTAAACGTTAAAACGAGGATTCGGACAACAAGAAGAAGGCAGTGGGAATTTTGATTATTATTTTTTTATCTCCTACTTTCAGAAAGCATGCTCACGATGGAGAGGCCGAGGAACGAGAGCCAAGTCGCGGGGGGTGCCTTCTCCTCCCGCTGCCAACAGACATTTCGCAGCCCCCCCGCCCCCCCTTCACGTGCACCCGTAATTTGGAATAAAACAATAACTTAAAAAAAACTACAACAAAAAAAACGTCTCGCCGTGTCGTGCGTTTCGACGTCGTTTAGAAGTTATCGCAGCATACCCCGCCGCATACGTGATCGTCGTAATGGATTTGCTGTAAATTACGTGGGCCCCCTGGCCCCCCCCCCTGGCCCACCACCACTCACCCCCCTGGGCCCACCACCTTCAGGCGAATCGCAGCTGTTGCTGTAGTGTTCCTCTCGCGAGGGATACGTTCCGGAGACGCTCGCGAATGGCAAATTTCATGGAAAATGATATTGGCCTATGAAAACCTTCTCGAATGATTTTATCTCATCGCTTGATCTCTCATCACTTTCCTTCTCTCCCTCCCCCCCCTCTCTGGGTCGTGCAGAGTTGCAGATGCGAATCGCCGGTAGCCCAAGTCGTGCCTGGTCAGAAATCGGTGACTCGCGCGAGGGGGGGAACGCCGTTACCGTTGAGCAGGCTGAGCAGCTTCTGAACCCTAATGGTGGGCGCAACGATGCGGTAGAGGCCCTGCTCCTCAAGCCCTGCGCACCACACGCACACACGGCCAGCGCCACCACCGATTACGTCGCACAACAACAGCTTTTAACGGTCGCTCATAACGGTCTCTTCCACCCAGTGGCGGATGGACGATCACATCCAAAGTATGTGCGGGCCGCTCGTAAACAAAGGAAATAAAAACGGTCCACTTCTTTCGTATGGCTGATGTAAATGCGGAGAAACAACTACAATTTCACATTCACAATATGAATCCCTGCGGTCACGAAAGCTTTAAATCAAAATTTTACACATTTTTTACTTGCATAGTAAAGTAATTGTATTTTAGCATTTGCTACACAGCTAGATAATACGACAAATCGATAACCTTAAACACCCAGTCGTTCATAAACGTTGAAGGCAGTATAGTACTATAGTAATAGAGCAAGTGCAGAATTACTGAACCGGAATTGATAGCTTGAAAGCATTTAGCGTGGGGTCCTTGAAAGTGCGGGGCCCGTAGCTACTCCACGTGCAGTAGCTACTGCACGCGGAGTAGCTACTGCACGCGTAGCTACTACTACACGCGTAGCTACTACTGCACGCGTAGCTACTACTACTACACGCGTAGCTACTACTACTACACGCGTAGCTACTACTACTACACGCGTAGCTACTACTACTACACGCGTAGCTACTACTACTACACGTGTAGCTACTACTACTACATGTGTAGCTACTACTACTACACGTGTAGCTACTACACATGTAGCTACTACACATGTAGCTACTACACATGTAGCTACTACTACACATGTAGCTACTACTACACATGTAGCTAGCACGCATGTAGCTACTACACATGTAGCTACTACACTTGTAGCTGCCACACTTGTAGCTACTACACTTGTAGCTACTACACTTGTAGCTACTACTACACATGTAGCTAGCACACATGTAGCTACTACACTTGTAGCTACTACACTTGTAGCTACTACACTTGTAGCTACTACACTTGTAGCTACTACTACACATGTAGCTAGCACACATGTAGCTACTACACATGTAGCTACTACACTTGTAGCTACTACACTTGTAGCTACTACTACACATGTAGCTACTACTACACATGTAGCTACTACTACACATGTAGCTACTACTACACATGTAGCTACTACTACACATGTAGCTACTACTACACATGTAGCTACTACACTTGTAGCTACTACACTTGTAGCTACTACTACACTTGTAGCTACTACTACACATGTAGCTACTACACATGCAGCTACTATTTTTACTGTTAGGAGCAGCGGGCCGAAGTACCAGGATGACATTGAGAAGAAAACACAAAACATGTTCCATCCGCTGAGCCCTCAACGGAAAGTGATGTATTTTATGAAAAATCCCACGCAGACACTTCCCAATAATTGCCCTTGTGCAGTATATTTGTGTGTGGTGCGAGTGGTGCGACTTCAAATCGCTGGAGGTGCATGTCCTTTTTTTCATCCTCGGCGTCAATTCTCGCGTTCGCGCGATTCGTTATCTATTTGTCCGCTCGGCAGGCATTTTCAGCGGCACAAAAGAGAACGTTAATAAATAAAAACCTACGCAAGGGTTCAGCTGAACAGAATATGAAGAGAAAATTACAACTTTTGACTTCCCCCAACAAGGGAAAAATACAAAAGGAGTTATACATTTTCGTTTAAAAAGAAACAAAAAACCTTTTTAACCTTTTTCGACCTTGCTCAAAAACTCACTCCTATCCACACACCACCACTGCCACCGCTAACGTAGACCTACAGACGCTCTTGCCTCCCGTATCTTCGCTAACTCATGGCCAAACCGAAAGAATCAGGACGGACAGATGGAGTGGTACTCGGCCGCCACCTGCTCGACATGGATCGACCTTCAGCCTCTACTCACGTGGGGGGGTAAGCAGATAAAGGAATGCAGCAATTGTCTCTCGAGGCATTGAGTTGTTATACAGGAGGGTGGCCCAGAAGTCAGGACACATAGGGTTATAATTAAGTTACAAATCGCATCGGGTTTATTTACTTTATTTTAACATACGTTCAAACTGACCTCCTTTAACATTAATGCACGATGCATGCATTTTCTTTTGGAGTGAACTTAGGACTATTTTTGTTTAAGATTGCATTGTGTAATCTCTGAACATTCATCAATGATGTTTGTCTCTCAATTCATTCACAGGGTTCTTGGTCGAGTTTTGTAAATGACAGATTTCAGGTGACTCTCACAGGAAGAAGAAACGTTGATATTAATAGATCAAATGTTAACGAAAATATTCTTTTTAAATGCCAGTGAAAAAAATGTATTGACTAAACCCTGTGTCCTAACTTATGGGCCGCGCGCCGTGTGTTCCATGGTCTGTTCTCGGTGATGATGCAGCGTGAACGTAATTTAGTGCCATGTAGGTTTGGTTGGCTACGTACCGTGCGAAAGAAGTTCAACATACATACAAGCATTGCTGGCTCATACAGAGATGGGAATCTGTTATGGATAAGTTTGGAAAAAAAATTGGGGGGGGCGGGATTTTGGATTCTCAAGGATAATTTTTGATGATTTATATCACCTAAGTAACGTGGTCTTTGTGCTGACGAAAGTCATGTCTAGCGGTGCCTCGTGACAATGTTTGGTGGAAACAGCATGAATATTATGCCATATAAGTGACGTTACTTCATGTCATGGTTTTGGATATCGAAAACAAACAAAATCTGCGTAGGAAAATATCTGGATCATCAAAAAATACCATATCTAGTCAAGTAAATTTTATTTTTGTGCTTAAACAAGTCACGCCTTTCTGGGACAAATCATAAACATCGATTTTTTATTTTTCAGATTTAAATTCCTGAAACCACCCGAGCCGTGTGTGCGGGATGGAAGCCACCGTGCAGACGGATCTCTGCGTCACACACACTCACCGTCGGCCTCGATGAGCTGAATGCACTTGCGTATGAACTGGAAGCCCATGTCGTTGAGGGTGGCTAAATACCAACACAGAGGACACCAAACAAAATTAGGAAAAGCCTTGAAAACCGTGCCACTTGTGCCACCGACAAACCCATACGGGCAGGGCCGCCACCCAGTTACTGGGTGGGGGGGTGGAGGGACAATTTGCCTGCGAGAGACCGACTGTCATGCCATCTCTTAAATAACAAAAACTTACATTAGCCAGAAGCACTGCCTTAAAATGCAAAGTGTACAACAGGCGTCGCTTTGGGCACAATGCTCTCTTGAGGAGATAACAGCTGACACTCTCATTTGATGTAATTGCTGCAAGCTTCATTTGAGCTTTTACACTGATATATAGTTATTACAGTGGATGCATTTACGTTAAGATTTGTTTCCATCAATTGTGGTCTCAATTGTGCTCTCGACGTCACGTCGCGAGGCGAAGCCTCCTCTCGGATCTCTCCGCACTGCGATAGAAACCTTGGCGGCACAGAAGGGCCCACGGATATGGCAGAGCTTCCTCTGAAATCCCTTCCAGTGGCCCGTGACCCACACACCGTGGGGGGAGGGGGGGGTACTTCCCACTCGCTCTGTGTGAGAGTGACAGTCGTAGCATTAGCACGGTTGGCTACGTACGGTGCAAAGGAAGTTCAGCTATGGCTCTAGGGTTTGGTGTTACATGTTGTTTACGTCGTTTATTGTGAAAATTCGGTCATAGTTCCTATGATCACTGTTACATTGCTTTTATGGCTTTATTTTGGTGATTTCGAAAACGTTTTTTGGTTTGGCCATGTTTATTTGTTGTAGTACGGAGTTAGACTGATGGGGCCTTAATCTAAGTTTTCTTGTGGTTGTTGTTTGACTTGCATCCCACTGGGATTTTTGCACACAGCGTTGGTGTACGGTGATTTTTCAGGAATATTTTACTGTTTTTTCCATGGATTTTCTGTTTGCACAGTCACATAGTCACTTTCAGATGTTTTCTTGTTCATGTTTTTGTTTTTTTATTTGTTGCGGTTGCACCCGATTCAAGAGCCGAATGGCTCACAGGGCTATACCAAATAAATGAAAACTGAAGCTGAAAAACGTACATACATTCCGGTTAATCCACTACTCTTAATTCTAACGAGCTGGAATTTAGCCAAAATTAAGTGCAGAACAATAATTGAATATGGCAGGGTTTTTATTTGCAGCCATCGGTGACCGTGTTGCTCTTCGTCAACTCGCTACACTTGAGCACCCCGTTTAACGACAGGAAGCTGGCACCTCACCGGTGCCAGCGCGCCGCTCTGATCTCTAAACCACAGGGGCCACCTCGTAAATGGATGCTTTATATCGAATGTGCGATCTTTGGTCGAAATATACTGGGACGCAATAGTGGACGTTGGCATTAAGAGGGCCCCATACAGAATTCTGCCCGAGGCCTCCAGAACACCCACCAATGTTGGCCCTGCACACAGTGTGTGGTACATAATCCAAGATCTAGGAATCAAATCACCATTATTTTGTTCAGTTGTACTTTAAAAGGGGTCGTGTGTACCTGTGGCTTTTTTTTTTGTTTGCTATACACATTTTTTTCAAAGCCCATCAAAAGCGACACGGTGACGAATTTGTGAATATGGATTGTTCATCGAAAAACTGTCAGTAATGATCTGCATCAGCTGAGCTGTGCGGCATTCACTCCTGCCACAGTTATTTTCATCCGAGTACACTTTTAGAAGAGTATTATTATCTTTATCACTATCTTGTGCTGCTCCAAGCAAATAAATACATACGTAAACTTATCCAAGTGGCTTGGGCCAAGCAATGCGAAATAATTGCAGGCTGCCAAATAATTGTTTAGCATCGTTTGCGGAGAATGTTGTAAAAAAATGTTAAAAACACCTTCCTCCCACGTAGAAAAGTGACATAAACATCAGGCAATTTCCCAGCATTGGATAAAGCGAGTCTGACTCTGCTGATGAAATGCTGACTCTCAAAGGCGGCCTAGCATTTACTTGCCTGCATTGAATCGGCACAGGCTGATAAAGATGCACTTGCAGGAAGGTGTCGCGGCCGATAGGTTGAGTAAATATATTTTTTTATGTAAGTGGAAACGCAAATGAATGTGGTAGGTGAAGAGGCATTGTTAATTTTGTCAACACGTAATACTCGGATGAGCGAACTGATCGTTTTGATCAACAGATGTGCGGGTTGCATCGAGGGCAACTTACTCTCTTCGGGAATGTTGTGTGTGGCCCGTTCGTAAATCTGAAAGACAATGCCCGACTCCGGTCAACACCGGCAATGCCACGCAGAGGGCACCACATGCACCGGCACACACTTCAGCCAACAGTCAGGAACTCGGCAAACACTCGCACAATGGGACACACAAAGTAACGCCGGCACAACGCCAACGCGATGCGACTGGGGCGATGGTGGGCCGGTTGCCAGAGCCGCGTTGTGCCCTGCTGCCTTTGTCTTCCCGCTGCTGACGTCGATCGCACCAACGCGTCGTTCTAGTGGGGTTGGGTTGACCCAGTGGAGGGTCCAAGCCGGTTAAAGGTGCAGTCCTGCAATTCCTCCCTCGTGCCACTGCTGGCAGAAGGGCCTCCACTAGAAGGGAAATCTGGAGAGTCTGGAGAGCCCCCCCCCCCCCATAGTAGAATATATTTTGGCCTACTCTTCCACTCTGGCCATACGCGACCTGCCCGGTCAACTAACCGTGGTGAAATAAATTTACACTGCTGCTGGGTCGACAAAGGCGGGGAGGTGGATTTAATAAACTGGACCATTGTTTCCCCTGCCACGCCGGGAGATCGAATCAAACCGGCGATCCCTATGGATCTCAAGCCCAGCGGTGCCGACCATTGCACACACGCACGCACACACACGCACGCGCACACACACACACGCACGCACACGTGGGCGCGGCATTTGTACATCGCACCCGGCCGGGAGTTGGTATGAATTGCAAGCGGTGTTACGCACCGTGGCGGGGTGGGGCCCGGGACCGCTGCACGGCGTGCGAAACGACGGCGGGGCAACTGCTCAAATGTACGCCCGAGCGCACGAATCGCGGCACGCAGGGGGAACGTGTTGGTGTTAAAGAAGAGGAATTACATTTCTCGAGCGCTCACCGTGGGTGAGAGCGTACTTTTAACTTGCGGGCCGCGACGACTAAACCCAACAAAAAAAACCATAGCTACAATCAAACAATGACGAAGATCTCACGTGGAGCTTTAATAGGCTGTTAAACGAGTAGCAGCACCTGTGAAGGCCAGCAAGGCACACGGCTTGGGGGCGTGGCCAGGACCACGCCCGGCCGCCTTTGTCCCCCTCCAGCGCCGATGTCAACGTACCGCACCAGGTACTCGTTTTTAAGGCTAAGCCGACCTAAGGGAGTCCCAGTAAGAGTTCAGATATTCGTCACCGACGTTGGCTGTGAGCGGGAATCAAACTTGGTTCGACGGGTTCATCGCGCGGTGTGCTCATCGCTACGTCACAGCGACGCCCCCTATCACACACACACACACCCGGGTTCATACGCGCCCTCGATTTTTCAATGACTCTCCTGTCACCGCAGTCTGTCTAGAGAGCTCTCTGTAGTGGAGGCCCTTGCACCAGCAGTGGCGTGAGAAAGGAATTGCAGGGCTGCACTTTTACCTTTCGCAATCATACCTCGATGGATTATTACGTTGCTGATCGGCGATGGCTTTGCGGAGGCTTTCATCCAGCAGTGGATTGATCATGGCTAACGACGACGGAAATGTCGCACGGCGTTTAGATTTACGCGCAACCCTTCAGCTGTTCATCCACTCCGCGCCCACGGCTGTCTTGTTTTTCATCATCCCCTCCCCCCAAGCGCGCACACACACACAACACGGACACACACAACACACGCGCACACAACATGCACGCGTGCACACACACACACAACACGGACACACACAACACACGCGCACACAACATGCACGCGTGCACACACACACACAACACGGACACACACAACACACGCGCACACAACATGCACCCGTGCACACACACACACAACACGGACACACACAACACACGCGCACACAACATGCACGCACACACACACACGACACGGACACACACAACACACGCGCACACAACATGCACCCGCGCACACACACACAACACGGACACACACAACACACGCGCCCACAACATGCACGCGCGCACGGTGACACGGCCGCAGAGAGAGGGCAGACAGCGCTTTGCTCTTTGAGCCTCGCGGCACGGAGCTCACAGCTGGGGACTTAAGATCCACAAGAGCGGAGGAGGTCACTCGCGTGGGAGGTCAAACCGGGCAACGGGGCAAGGGCGGCACCCCGGGGGATGCCCCTGGCTACGTCGCAGGAAGTCACCCGGCTGGGGCGTCAGGCGCTGCCCCCTGGTTAAACCGCACTCGCCGCTGTCCGAGGAGGTCGGCCTTCGTGAGATCTCCCCCCCCCCCCTGTCCCCCCCCACGACGTAAGTCGATCCGCGCTGTAGGCAGAGATCGATTTGCCCATCGGCTCGCGCGCAGTGTGGCGGACCCAGACCCACCTGCAGTTCCCTTCCTGGCCACGGTGCGTAACACCGATTGTAACTGAAAACTGAAACTGAAAACTGAACGAGCCAAATAAAGGCTCTGGATAATGAATTACCAGCTCCTGGCAGGGTGCGATGTATTAATGCCGCGTGCGTGCGTGTGCGTGTGTGTACGTACGTGTGAGGGGAGCGATAGTGTAGCGGTTAGCGCTACGCTGCGCTATGAACCTGGTGACCCGGGTTCGATTCCCGCTCACGGCCAACACCACCAGTGACGATTATCTGAACCGGTCCCGGGCCTCCCCTAGGTCGACTCAGCCTCAAATGAGTACCTGGTGCGGTGTGTAAACATTGCCACTAGGGAGACAAAGGCGGTCGGGCGTGGTGCTGGCCACCCACCCCCTCGTGTACCGTTCCGGCCTTCATAGGTGCTCGCTAACAGCACTTGCCCCTACAGTCTGTTAAGGCTATATGGGGGATCTTTGTCTTTGTGTGCGTACGTGTGAGTGCGTGTGCGTGCGTGTGTGTGCGTGTGTGTGCGTGTGTGTGCGTACGTGTGTGTGTCTGTGTGTCTGTGTGCGTGTGTGTGTGCGGGCAATGGTCAGCAACGCTGGACTTGAGATCCAGAGGGATTGCCGCTTCGATACAATCTCCCAGCGCGGGACGAGCAACAATGAACGAGTTTGTTGAATCCACCTCCCCGCCTTTGTCCACCCAGCAGGGTCAGGGGTAGTGTGGCGATCGCGTTGGCCCCTCACTCAGCGATTTACCCAACTCGGCACACCTAAGGGCACCCATAAAAGTTGAAGATTCTTAGAACACATTGCCACGTGGTGCAGCAGCAGCGGCAGCACTGGCGTGGGCAGAACGCATCGACGCGCTAAGAGTCCGGGGGTTTAAACATGCGTCTGGTCAAGGCTGCTCCTGACGGGGCATCACATTAATTATTAACAATTAATAAAATAATAAAAAATATGACGACGTTTTAAGTCAAAATGTTATTATTTTAGTGGCAGGCTTGTAAATAGCAATGTAAGGACACGACTACAACAGTGCGACACTGCCGTCTGGTGTTGATCCTTAGAAGCTGTATAGATAAATCGCCGATAAGGCTGGATGAACGCGTGGGAAGTGGGGCTTTGTTCGGCCACGTTTAATCGCACCGCTCCGTCTGTGTGCGTTGGTAAAGGTCTGTTGTAAGGGGAGGGGGAGGGGGGGGTGGGGTTCGGGGAGGGGGATATCACTTGCTACTGATGTTAGCCATGACCGGGAATTGAACTCGGGTCACTAGATTCAGAGAGCAGTGCCAACCGGTCCCAGAGTGATAATTCACCACCCACAGTGATTAGACGAACTGTCACAATTCGGAGGAGCGAGATCGATTTTCTTTCGCCCGGTCCTGTCTGTATTATTTATTGTGTCCACTCCATGAGCCGAGATGGAATACTGCTATATATTTTTCATATAATTTGCATCAATTGTAAACGATCACTGCTGGAGTGTATGATCCTCTGCGTGCACCACGAACGTAAGAGTAAAAATGTAATCGGTGGATCACCGCATGCCTAACAAAGTAGCTGGAACAAACGGAGAAGCAATGCAAAAAAAATGAGACGAACAAATACAACAGATAAATCGATTCTACAACGTAGGGCATCGAGTGCGATGGTTTTGGCACATCACAAATAACGCGACAGCGAATCAGACGGGTCTTCCCGAGATTGGTCATGGTGGATGTTCACTCGCTCGGCCGACACACCCGTCTCACAAACGACCTGGTAGCGACTCAACAACCTGGTGTGGGTCCTCCGGCTCGCCGTTTGTATGGACCCACAGAATGAGGCCAGAAACACGCCTGGAAAATGCCACACGTGGTCATCTGGGACAGCGCCTGGCTGCTGCAGCAGCAGCAGCAGCTCACACGGCTGTCCGAGGTACCGAGCCGCCGAGTAACAATAGACGCTGCGCCTGGATAGGTTGCTTTGCAGGTCACGATGACCTGCACCACCGGTCCGTTTGCTCACAACCGTTGCTGGTGTAAGAGGGCCTCCACTAGAGGGAGCTCCAGCTAAATAATCCCCCCCCCACCCCCCGAGACTCCTAAAGGGTTCACGGCCACTTTTACCCCACCATATGCAAGCTGGCGATCGACTAACTGATATACAGGAGGTCGTGGGTTCGATCCCAACCCTGACGCCTGTATATTTGGAGTTTGCGTGTCTCTCTCCCCGTCGTCGCGTGGCTGTTTCTTGGGGACCTCTGCTTTTTCCCCTCCTCATTTGAAATCAACATCATGCGTTTAGAGTATTTTGCTGCTATAAATTTCCACACGATAAGCCACACCGTGGAGGAGGAGGGCGGAGGGAGCGAACAATGCCAACGGAGTTTTGCCCTCACCGGTTCTCTCCCGTCCATGGCCTCCATCCATTGCTTGCGGCTGTCTTCCGAGAGCGCCTGCAACGTCAGCACCCCGGCCCTGCGCAAGGTCGGACGAGAGAGGCCGGCGGGGGGGGTGGTGGTTACGACTCGCCGGCGCGGGAGGGCCAAGAACGGGTGCGATACAAACGCGGCACAACTCCCTCCGTGTCAAAGCTTCATATTCTATAGGGGGCCGTCATGAACATCAATGCCCATCCCCCCCCCCCCATCACACATACATCCCCCAATCATAGGCGGCTACTTGCGGTGGCTAGCAAGGCATGCAAGTTCAAGAGGTAATGTATGTATGTTGAACTTCTTTCGCACCGTACAGAGCCAACCGTGCTAATCGGAGGTGTGGGGGGGGGAGGGGAAGGACAACAAACAAAACACAAAAAGTAGTTTTAAAGAAATTAGTTTTTAATCTAGATTTTAAAAAGTGCACAGCTCTTTTTAAAGGCATAGGTTGTTTCCCAATATCGGAAGGAAGAGCGTTCCAGACGGCCACAGGAGCGCAACTGAAAACGAGCGATGCGGCGACCGTCTTTATTCGACGGCTAGCGACAGGCCCCTGCGCGGCAAGGATGCCGGAGTTTGCGTGACGGCTCGTGGTCTTTGACGAGATCACCACAAGATTTTGAGGTTCATTTGTGGCAAGCACGTTGTGGGGTAATCAGTGCCACATTATAATTTATTCGTTCGGCAACCGGGTAAATAAGCCAAGATACAAAAATTGTATCATTCTAAACTGAAGTGTTGTGTTTTTTTTGCATTTACTATCTTTCCACTCGTCTGTTGAGCTGAGATTTGGGAAATACTGTAGCATCGTTAAGACGAAGAATAATCTGGGCATTTTCTAACGTCTCATCATCTTCAGCCTTCATCTATCCACTGCTGGATGAAGACCTACCTCCCCCCCCAAAGCCATCGCCATCTATCGCGGTTGTGCGATGCCACGATCCGTCTAGCTGCCCCCCGGCACGCGAGCCGATCCCGTTGCTAAAATCCCTGACGGGCAAAGACCTTGGCGTAAAAAAAAAACCGACCGTGTCATTTCACTTTTATACAAAACCCAAACGGCACCCTGCCCCCCCCACCCCCCACAATACCTGTCACCGAGGTCAACGTCGAAGCAGAAGCGGCGATCGATGGCGTCCGTGCGCTTGCGAACGCACGACCTCACCGTGAACTCCTCCTCCTCCGCCTGGCACAAACACGGCGGGCACGCACGCGCGCAAAGACGGGAGGGGGAGGTGTCTCGACGCGGTTGACTATAACACGAGCAGGAAACCTCGACCCAGCCGCGTGTCGCCTCACCTTCGTCACGACAACAACTCGGGGCCCTCTCGCCCATCGAGCCAGACTCGGACGACAGTGAGATAAGGTGAAAGACGCAGGCCCGGTGCCTGCTCGCCACCACTGCTGACGGAAGAACCTCCGCTTGAAAGAGCTCTACAGAGAGGCCCCAACTGGAGGATTGTTAGGGGCTCACTCTTCCGTGCATACAACACACCTAGGGAGAGGTGGGAGTGCCCACACTTTACCCCACCCACAAGGGACCTGCCAATCTCGGCTAGCTGTGGTGGATCCGATTCACGCTGCTGGGCCAACAGAGGCAGCGCAGGGTGGAGGAGGGGGGGTGTTAGAGAAACTCGCACTGTTGTTTCAACTGCTACGCCGGGAGATCGAATGAAATCCAATTAAATTTCAGTAATGTTTGACCCGCAATCGCACAATGTGAACATTCAAATCGCACGGCGGCAGCGTCTGATGCGATTGGTCACGTGACGACCAATTACAAACTTTGTCAGTCCACTGCCTGATGAAGGCCTACGATGTGTTGCTCATGGTACTTGTTTGGCCATGCTTCATCAGGCGGTTCAGTGTGGGTTGGTTAAGGTTGGTAAACTTATCATTGAAATGAAATCCGTTATCGATAACAAAATAAATGTTGATAACAATAGTCAACTTAACGAGCCTACTTGAAAGCTAAACAGTGCTGAGCCTGCTTCAGAATATGCTTCTTGGCAGAATAAACTTCCTGTTCCACATTCTCTCAAGGGATTCGAAACAAATCAGGGGTAGATTTGGTATTCGTTTCAGACACAGCCTGCAGGAGTTTCGCAGTCAGGGGAGATGATCGCTACGCGTTTTTTCAATGGAATAATTATCAGCAAAATGTTTAAATTTTGCCAAAATTTGGACCATGATGCTGTTAGACATGGCCTACTCTGTTTTGAACGAGAAGGGATGTGTAATCCGATTAGCAGAGTTGGCTATGTATAGTGGGAAAGACGTTGAAAATACAAGCAGATGCTGCGTATTTACGTTTTCGATTCATCCACAGTATTAACCAGGGCGGCCAGTGGGCTAAAACCGGGAACACGTTTATCGCAGCGCGACATCAGCCGTCCTGGGCTCGTACCGGCTTTCCCGATGTCTTGAGCTCGGAGGGGCCCCGAATAAACTGCCGGTTTGATTTCTTGTACTTGGAGTAGCTCTTCACCCACGTCGTCCCGAAGGGCCCTGTGCGACACGACAAGAACACAGGGACAAGAACACAAACAGAGATACAGAGGGCAGTGGTCAGCAGATCTATTAACCATCTATTAACTAACCTATTTTAATTTTGCCAGGTAAAGCCCAACTGAGCTATGTAGCTCTTTCTCCAAAGCGACATGGCCACAAATGATAGCTCAACGTAGTGGCTTATCACGTGCAAATGTATAGCAGCCAAATTGCTCTAAACACGTGACGTTGATTCTAAATGTGGAGGGAAAAATCTGAGGAACCGGAGAAAAATCCACACGCAAACTCCAAATAAAAAGTTGTCAGGGTCAGGATCGAACCCACGACCTCCTGCATACCTGGCGAGGTAGTTAACATCTCCTAGCCACCGTGATGATGATGACAGAGTGAGAGACACATACGCAAACTCCAAATAAACATGTGTCAGGGTCGGGATCGAACCCACGACCTCCTGCATACCTGGGCGAGGGAGTTAACATCTCTATAATTCAGGTTTTTTTGTTTGTTAGATCGCATAAATATAAATGTTGTTAAATCCATCACCACCCAACATAGCAAATTAGTACGATTTATCACGTAAACAAAACCTGCCAATTCGTGACTAGTTCAGCACACCGGTGTGTTGGAGAGTAAACCCACAACAATTAAATTTCACCACCACGGCGCCCTGCATAAAACGTGGGTTATCACATTTTACCAGGGTACCCCCTCAATCGTGATTCGGACCGTGCAACCGACGAGCGGTAAATAAACCATGCCATAATCTGCCTCCAAGAGGACACAAGCGCATGCACAGGCGTGGGGATTAGTAGCACCGTGCGCGTGATTATTTGCAGATCGCAACGACGGCCGTCCCCGTCAGGCAAACGGCACAGCGCAATGAAAACCTCCCGTCAAAAAGTTAAAATCCTCGTGAATTACAACGACCTCAGAGAGACCTATTTCAAAAGATGGGTAGAGATCAGTCATTCAAATACAAACGCTCGCTAAATCAGAGCGGCGCTCCAAGCTGGACGGAGAGTGGCGGCGCAGCGTTTGGCGCACCGCGGCGACCAGAGTCCGAATCCCGGCCACTGCTAACGTTCAGTGGCGAGTGATACGGAAACCGGTCCTGGTTCATCCCCTCCGCTTTCACCAACCCGCACTGACCGGCGTGGTGAAGTATGGCCAAACAACCTCCCACGACTTACGCGACATGGAGAAGTCTCGCATCCAGTACTGGATTTGACAACGGGTTATGTGACATTATTTTATCGTTGTTGTTGTTGTTATCATTCGCGGAAAGATATGTGGCCATACTGCACGACACTGGGTGTTGGCGGCTTAGTGAAGAAACTCACCTGACATGGGGAATGCGCCACTCACACTCAGGTGACCTGTACAAAAACACCATCACGTTAACATTTCCTGAACTGGAATCAATTCCAGATATTGCGAGTTTTCAACTTGACGTGTGACGAACGCCCCTTCGCAGGGAACGTTAAAGTGTGTCCCTCGTGTGAATAAAAGAGGCCTATCGAAGTGACTTGGGAATAAGTTCCCGCATCATCTCCTTTACCGCGGGGACATTTTCTGACAAGGGCTATGCACTCCTAGCTGCAGGGTTCTGAATATAAATGCATTTGTTTCGTGAAAATTACGCCAATTGGACAATTTGAATGGGATCGGGAGCTGGGGTGTACGGAATATGAGAAAATAATAAACAGCTGGATCTCTAATAAAAAATTGTCATATCAACATAATAATTCAAATAATAATGCCCTTAGTTTGTCCACAAAAGCCTCACTTAGTCTCAGAATTATTTTTCAGGACAGTCCTGAATTGAGAATTTCTCCTAATTAACTCTTTCCCGTTCCGAGACGTCTGCAAGTTTCAGGGTGGTGGGCGTCCCGCTCACCGCTGAATCGGGGAACGCGCAAGCGGTTGCTGTTAAATTATATTCAGCGAGGAGTAGCGCCGCTGTTTTTAAAGACGTTGTCCTGTACTCACTGCAGAGAACCGTAGCGACACAACCGCGCTCTACAATGGCTGGCGCCAAACTGTGCCGCATGTCCTCCCGCGTGGCCTTTTACTTCCAATAAAACACGTGCATGCGAGTACCAAGTGTGCGTGCGTGCGTGTGCGCGTGCTGGGGAGCGTACGTTTCTCCAGCACGTAGAGGTAGCCCTCGACGGTGTAGTCGCTGGAGCGCTTGTGCTCCTCGGGAGACTCCCGCACCTTCTGCTTGAGGCGTTCCACCTCGGAGCGCGTGCTCTCGAAGCGGTCGCGCGTCTGCAAGAAGCGACACACCCACGCTGGCGTGCGAGGCCTCACGCGAGGCTGCTGCTGCTGCTGCGCACGAGCCCACGCCACCGCCCCCCTCCCCCTGCCCCCCAGTGGCGTGGCTTAAAATAATACATTGTAGACTGACAGAATTTTGAATTATATTTAAAAACCCTTCCCCAGTTCAATGGGCCGCTAGCTCACTGCCGTGCGCGTTCCACGTTCAAGTCCTCCGTGGTCAGGGAGGGGGGTCAGGTGGCTCAAGGGTCAAAGCGCTCAGCTGGCACTTCTGAGAACCTGGAGTAATAAATCCCGGCAGCTGCCTGCGCTTAAACCGGGTCCCCCCACGGCGTGTTGAAGACTTCACAGTTGCAGCCCAGTCCATCAATGACTGGCGCGAAAAACAAAAATCCATCACGTAACAATTTCGCTCTGCCCTTAAGTCGGATACAACTGGGCGACTGATTTTTTTTACACTCCCGAAAGACTTTCTGAGTCTCCAGACGATGCATTAGGAGAGATTTTGCGGTGGGACGCCCGTCCAGTTCCATTGACGAGCGTTTGGCTTTGTGTTGGCGGAAACCGGAGAGCCCGGAGAAAACCCACCAGGCGTACGTGGGTTCGGGGTGGAGGGGGGGGCGGCACTCCTCACTGCTATCTCCTGGCCACCTCACAGCCCCACGTCCAGAACGCCTGGCACGCCCTCGTGAGCCCTCATCCAAAGACTAAGTAAGACAGGGCCGCTTAGTTTCCGAGAGACCTGACGATCGGGTGCATCGAGGGCAATGTGCGTGAAAGGTGCAGGGTGGTCCGGACCGTCTCGTGACGCTCTCTAAAACTGAATATTTTTAAAAGTAAGGTTTATTCAAAACAGAAATGAATATTAAAAGGAAAAAAAAAACACATGTTAGGGGTTAATTAATTGGGGGTCACAAGACATCTGGACCGCCCTGTACACGGGCTGGCCCCATTGGCCAATCCCGCTGCTGGATCAAGGCCTCCCAACGCCAAGCCAGTTCACCGCGTCGGTCGGTCGGTCAGTGCCGGCCCGGTGAAGGGGGGAGTGCAAAGAATGGAGAGCATTTAACGAGAGCACAGCAACGGACTGTGCTACACTGCCCTCTGCTGCCCACCACGTAGCCCAGCAGCAGCAACCGCCGATAGAAATCTGCTTCATTTACGGTGGGTCCCCCATCTGACCGTCATTTAAGCTTACCCATTGGCTGTGTCGAGTGGTGGCGAGGGGGGGGGGTTAACGACACATTTATATAGAAATAGGTTTTACCCTTTTAACTGGCACAAAAACTGACACCTTTATTCAAGGCATCATGTTTGCAATAACCACAACACAAGCAGTCAAAATGCAAACAAAAGAGACAACTCTGATAATATTATGCACTGTCCTTGAATTTGATTGGTCCACACCCGAGACGGCTTTTCTTTAGAGCCTAGTCTCCACTGGTGTTGGACCAGAAGACGCCAAAAGACGTACAACTCAAAAACAGCGCACTATCAGAGTATTGAGGGCTCGGGGTGAGCATTTACATTATGAGACCTCCTTTGCCAGTAACAAGATATAGGAATAGGTTTTACCCTTTTAACTGGCACAGTTACTGGCAAAGGAGGTCTCATAATGTAAAAGACATTTATATTCGGGCAATCTAACCCGAAGAAAAACCTTTCGTATGGATGACATTGGTCGTGAAAGGCGACGCGTTAAACTGATTCAGGCTCCATCCCGCTTTGCTTCCAGATGGCTCGAGCAAAGGGCATGATTTGGAGTGCTCAGTGACGAGCGGCAACAAATGAGCAGCCGGTGAGCTACAATGATGGCAATAACAGCGGCGGCGGCACTGGAAGGCCAAAGGCGGTGTGACGGGGGGTGCGTGAAGGTGCCCATAGCGTGACGGTGCACTGAGCGCTCCGTGCATGGGCTGCGCCAGCTGTAACGGCACTCGCGCAGCGAGTCCGTCAGGGTCATCGAACTCAAAACGAGTTTTGAGTTCGATTTCTCACGCAGGAGAGGAATGTTTCCCGGCGGCAGCAAAACAAAACAAAAAAAGAAAAGACCACCGGTCGAAGTGCGTTCGTGATGCTGCACGGATATTGTCAAAGCCGCGAAAGAGATCACAACCAGCGGTGCCGATGGTGCCGCGTTCAGCCTTCGCTCTCTTAAACGGCGCCGCGTATCGCAGTGTGTATGAAACGTTGACAGATTTTTTTTGTTGTCCTTTTAAACTTGAACATTATTTTAACACCACGTTGATAGCCATGCGATTTATTGGTAGCCGTCCAGTAGCCGAGCCCTTTTTTTAAAGCTTTGTCCTTACTTCCTCCCCCCCCCAATAGCAATAAGCACGTCTAGAGCAAGCAAACATACCATTGGGTCGATTAGCTCCACTAGAAAATTGCCACGCGATCCGTGGCGGGGTTTGTACGGAAGCTGACGGTGTTGATCGAGTCCGTGTTTCTCAAAGACGCCGACGGGGGGGGGGGGGGGCTTAGGGATCAGAGTGCTGAGCCAGCACCACTGATATCCCAGGTTCGATTATGGACTTCAGCCGCCTGCGATGGTCTCAACCAGCTACCAATGACTGCGCCAACATTTGTTTACATTAAATATGGCCCTGATTCCAGCTCCGAGAAGTCAAAGTATCATACGTGGTGGGTGGGAAAGTGCTGCCCCCTTCTGTATGGACCACAGGTCACTTTATGGGACGTTAGAGGTAGCTCTGTAATTTCTACTTCCACGGGCCATTCTCCAAAATGAAGGCTTGCCACTGCTCTGTGAGACTTCCCGATGGATACTTCGTCTTCTGACATGACACCGATAGCGCACACACACACACAAAATTGGGAAAAAATATGAGCACGTGCGAGTGCTTCACAACAACAGCGTGGGTGGTGAATGTACCTACCCTCTGTATGCTCATCTGCAGCTGTATCTTGTAGAGGTTGAAGTCCTTCGCGTACTCGTAGCCCTGGTGGTAGGCTGTGCACAGCCCGTGGGTGAACGCCAGAAGCTGTGGAAACAAAGACAAAGACCCCCCCCCCCCACCATGTAGCCTTAACAGACTGTTGGGGCAAGGACTGTTAGCGAGAATCTATAAGGCCGCCAAAGCACACGAGGGGGTGGGTGGCTAGTATCTGATCAGAAAATATGTATTGGTGTTGGCCGTGAGCGGGAATCGAACTGGGGTCGTTGGGTTTGTAGCGCAGGGCATGAAGCTTTGCACTAACGCTCCCCACAGTCCCATTTTTTTTGTCAGTTGTGCGATCATGCACCACTCAAAACAATGCGTTTACGCGCATACCTCCCTTCTTCTGGTGTTGCAGGATATTCTGCTCGCCAAAATACCGCCCCGGTTTATTTTGCAGCTCAGGAGACGGTGACCCTCACGGGGAGAGCCATCCCAAGGAGGCAGCGGGTGCTGCCCCAGGGGCAGTTTGATGGGTTTGCTTTGAGATGTTAACTACCTTGTGGCTATGAGATGTTAACTACCTTGCGTGATATAATGCAGACCGTGGGTTCGATCCCAACCCTGACGCCTGCTGTATATTTGGAGTTTGCGTCTCTCTCTCTCATCATCACGGTGGCTATGAGATGTTAACAACCTCGTCTGCTATACAGGAGGTCGTGGGTTCGATCCCGACCCTGACACCTGCTGTATAATTGGAGTTTGCGTGTCTCTCTCTCCCTGTGGTCAGATGGATTTTTTTTCTCCGGGTCCTCCAGCTCTTCCCTCCACATTTAGAATCACATGCATTTCGCGTGTATGGTTGCTATAATTTGCCACGTGATAAGCCACTTCGTTGAGCTATCTTTTGTGGTCAGGTCGCTCTTCAGACTCCATAAGCTCAGTGGGCCTTATCTGGTAAAATAAAAAAAATAGTTGAGTAGTTTTAGTTGAGTGATGTATTATCAGTGCCAATATTAAATATGTCATCTGGTTCTAGATTTGAAGCTTTCGTGACTGCAAGGATCCATACTCTTTGGTTCTATTCGGTAAAGTCACGTAGGTTTTTTGTTGTTTTATTTTTTACCTACGTGTCTTTACCGAATAGAACCAAAGAGTATGTCATCTGGTGATACTGCAGTGGCCCTTAACTGGAAAAATGTAAATGTGTTTAATTTATATTCTTGGTTCTTTCGGTAAAGCCACGTAGAAGGGAAACAATAAAATAATAGAAATATAAAACAATAAAATTCTCACGACGTTTCGACTGAAACACAAGCAATCGTCATCAGGTGTGAAAACCACAGCACGAAACATTTGAAAAAAGTGGCGGTTTGTACTTATTTAGCTTTTAACGTTAGCACCACGGAGAGCGATTTGACAGTTTGTTCAGATGGACGAGTCCATCTATGTTCGTAAAAGAGGAGGGGGGAGACGAAAAATAATAATGGATGCGGTCTGAAAGCCACCGTAAGCGTGAACAATCGACTAAGACCCGAAATGGTTTAATTTAGTTCACAGACCTGCTGACCACTGCCGTGATCGGGTACGGCGCCCGACTCAACGGTCGCAGAACGCGCCGACGGCTGCCGACGGCTGCCGACGGCTGCCGACGGCTGCCGACGGCTGCCGCAGGTGAAACAAAAAATGAACTCACGGGCTCGATGAACTCGAACATCTTGCGCTCCTGCACGGCCTGCACGGTGCTGATGTACTGCAGCGACGTCTCGCAGAACTGGCTCCGCTCTTGCTCGACATACTTGTCGTGCTGGGGACGTCACCGACGGATCCAGGAGACGGCGGGGGGGGGGAGGGGGGTGGGATTAGGCGCGGAACGATTCATGGGATTGTGATCGATTATATTCCGATGCGTTTGCTTCGTGTACTCATTTAAAATATGTTTCCACTTAAGGATTTTGTTCATATGTTATCTTTATTTTTGTTGTTGTTGAGTGCTCAACGCTTCTCTGTTTTATGCGTGTTTCCTTGATTGTATTTTTTTGTTGTTGATATAACCTGCTGACGCTGCCCCCCCACTGGACATCTGTGAAAAAGAACTTCCACCGGTTTGAATAATGATTCTGATCCTGATTTAATTAACGTAATACTGTGTCGTTTTCGCCAAAATGTATCTCGACTGTGGTGTCGGAATAGCGACGAGAAACGAAGAATCCACGTGGATTTCTTCTGCAGGAGGCGAAAACCACAGAGCTCCCCCTCTTTGGTGCCATGTCATGTGATCTCCAGTCCAAACAGAAGAGGGCAGCACTTTACCACCCTGTCTGTACAAGCGAGGAACGTTCGTTGCATTACAGGCCGGCTGATGTTTTAATTCGCACAGCCGTGGCCAAATTAAGCACAGAACCAAATTTTACTTAATGTTTTGTTGTGTGTGTGTGTGTGCAGTCACTGGCGGTCAGCGCGCTGTGCTACGAACTCCCGGGCATCCCCTAGGGCAACTCAGCCTCGAATGAGTACCTGGTGCGGTGTGTAAACTTCGCCACTGGGGGAGACAAAGGCGGCCGGGCGTGGTGCTGGCCACCCACTCCCTCGTGTGCCGTGCCGGCCTTCACAGGTGCTGCTCGCTAACGGCACTTGCCCCAAGTCTGTATTTGTCTTTGTGGTCATTGGTGACCGGGCTGAGACCATCAACTCGCTGCACTTGTGGCTGCCCGGATTCGAACCCAGGTTATGCCAGCCAGTGCCCGCTCAGCCGCTCCGGACCTCGGAGCGGCTCCGCCACCTTCCGATTGCACCAGATCCTCAAGAGGAAAATGCGTCCCCGGCGCCCGTTGGATATTTATTCACACGTGCTTCTTGTCAAGAGGAAACACGTTCTCTGGAGTTGACCCCCCCCCCACCCCGCTCCCCCCAGGGATTTAACGTTTGAGAAAGATTTTCGAGGAAAAATGTTTCCTGACCATCGCCCCAAAATCGGGATCGAGTTTGTGATCGTGGATCACGTGACGAAGCGCGAGGGGTTTTAAAAGGGAAAAAAACATCCCCGCAAAATGTCTCAGGATAAGTCTTCACGACGATCGCTCGACACACTCACAACACACGTCTAACCACGCGTGGAGGCAACATTATCGCCTCGAAATGCATGCGGACTACATGCAAATAATATGCCGTTACATTTGGGCCCGTGGAGCAAACAAAACCCGGGGCGGGGAGGGCGGTTAAATGCGTTGATGCCCAAAAGGCAGAGGGGAAGTAAACGCTCGGGCGCCTTCCTGTTTGAGAGGCAATGAAAAGCTGACTAATCACAGGGTGACACGTGTCAATATTACACCGAGGCAGAGAGAGGAACACACGGATGAGAGGACAAATGCACGTGACAGCACACAACCGTTTTTGCTTTCAGACAGAGCGATTTGCTTACCTTTCAAAAGTGTTTTGCTAACCTACTTTGTGCTCATACTCTTTAGTTCTTTCGGTAAAGTCACGTAGGTATAAAATAAAATAAATCAGGACGTTTCGGGCGCAACACAAGCGTCCGTCATCAGGTGGGAAAGCTTTGGTCTGCTGCTGAGGCAGACTGTTTTAAAAGGTTTGAAATGGGTGTAGCCCAAGGGTCATAAAGAAGTGGCCGGGGCTAGTGATGTTCATGTGAGAAATTAGCATGCAACTTTAAGATAGGAAAGCGGCCTCCTAAACGAGGGCACGAAAGTGGCTATGTTAATGTGAGAGATTAGCACGTAACTGTAAGATAGGATAGCGGCCTTTATACTCCTATCATTTCTTTTTGTATTGTTTGTTCTTATGCCCCTACCGGACGTCTGTGGAAAAAATAGCTTAATAGCCCGCCGCATTTCTCCAGGATGAGTACAAACATTCTGATTCTGAAGCGAAGTGGGCTTAGGGCAGGACGCGTCACCAGGAGGCAACGGACGGTGGTCGAGACTAACGACCGGAGCGGCAGCTCAAGGAGGGAGCAGCGCTCCTGTGAGGGGCGTCGAAACGCAGGAGATGGAGTGAAGAAATCGCTTCGTGCACAGGCGACAGATCTCAACGGACGCTTGGCCAGACCGTGTGTGATGGTGAAGCCTTGGGGGAGACCCTCGTACAGCAGTGGATGGATCACGGTTGACGATGACGGAGAGCAGACAGTGCCAGCTCGTGTGGATGGTAAATAGGGTTGTGTTCAAAATTGATGATAGTATTGATGGTGACAATGATAACGATGACCACAACGACAATGATGGTGATGATGATGGCACTGCCGCTTGTGGTTGTGCTGCGTCGCTCTCCCAATGTTTTCGGGTTGCACCCGAGCGTTGCTTCGGCGCGACATTCCGCACGTTTCCACGCCACAACTCTGGGAGCTTCTTCAATGAGCCTTCCAGAAGATCCCAGGGCGCGCAGCGAAACGTCGGGCATCGTGCAGAACAATAACACGCGGCGGTGACACCACACATCGGGGGGGGGGGGGGGCGGTGACGGTGACGATCGGTGAGGGAAGCGAAGAATCGACGGCCGCTCGCTTACCTCGGCAAACTGAGCTTCCTTCTTCTTGAACGAGAGCCCCAGGTTCTTCTCGACGAGGCTGTAGTACTTCTCCGTCTGCTTCTCAAACTTCTTCTTCTCCTCCTGCCGGCGGGAACAGCGCGGGAAAGGTGACACCGGCGTGTTGGGGAGTAAACCCGAGTACCGTGATGTTTAGCATTTGATTACAGCCAGCTTCATCAAGCGATTTAGCTTGATGAAGAGGTACATTTTATGGGTTTCCTCTGCAACACACCGGTGTGCTTAAGTAGTAACGCACGTTCTGTTTACGTGAAAAAAAAACCTTACTAATTGACTGTGTCGGGTGGTGGCGGGTTTAACGGCACATTTATATTTACGCAGTGAAACCCAATTTTTTTTTATTACGTGTTAAACTGGCAGGGGTCACGTGACTCGACTCCATGGTGAGGCAGCGTTTTTTTTTTTGCGTTTCTGGCGCCCTCCACAACTGGGAGGGGTCAACCGCCAAGATGCCACCGAGTCCCACCCCGCCAACGCACCACACCCCAGCTGGGGGGGCCGGGGGGGGGGGGGGGGTGTGGGCGATGACTACGAGGACGACGACTTGTTCTGCGGGATTTAACTGCAGGCTTCCGTCCGACCGAGCAACTCGAAACTTTGGTGCACGCGGGGGGGTGTCATCCCGGAACCGCGTGGCGCGTCGTGGGGGGGGGTCCGCCCTGGCTCCGGGCCGTTCAGACAGATTTTTTTGGGGGATAAATTTCATCTCGGGCATTGGTGGCGGCGGTGGTGGTGGTGGTGGTGGTGAGGTGGCCGGGGTGGGAGCGGGAAGGCTAGCCCCGGACAAAACAAATGCACAGACGATGTTACATGCAGCTTGTGTAGAAACGAGGCGAGAAAACCCGTATGTTACATAATGAGACCTCCTTTTGCCAGTAACAAGATATAGTAATAGGTTTTACCATTTTAACTGGCACAAAAACTGACACCTTTAATTCAAGGCATCATGTTTGCAATAACCACAACACAAGCAGTCAAAATGCAAACATTTTGACTGCTTGTGTTGTGACTGCTTGTGTTGTGGTTATTGCAAACATGATGCCTTGAATTAAAGGTGTCAGTTTTTGTGCCAGTTAAAAGGGGTAAAACCTATTACTATAACCCGTATGTTGTTCACCGGCTGTAGAGAGCGGTTGAAGCGGTATAAACGCTTTCATTGCTGACATGCCTGCGGTCACCAACCCTCTGCAAGTGGCGAGCAGCTTATATGCTAAACCTAAAATTATTCATTTACTGCTTCGCAAGCGCTGGTCCATCGGCAAAACCGGATAATCCGCTAATCAACTGCATGGTCCCATCTCTTCTTAATCGTGCTGCAGTCGAATTTGTTCTGATGCAGAGCAATCTCGTCGAAGTTTTGGGGCCGCGCGTCTCCCAACAGACGAATGAGACACCGCGGTCCCGCCTCCGTTTCCCGACTGACGCTTCCCATCAGCGACATTTCTGACCCCGTCCGCCAGCGGGCCACCGCCTAGCAGCGTTGTGGCCCGGCGCACAAAAAAAGGATGGCGGGGTCAGGCCGAGTCGGCAACAATTTTCTTTGTTCATCCACCGTCGAAGACGTTGAGCTGCTGCGCGCTCGTCATCGCACTGGCGACGAGCGCTTGACGGACAACGAGGAAGAACCAAAGCATGGTGGCGGAATGCTATCGCAGTGTCATTTTGCGTCGACTCGTGACACACCGTTGACCTTTTGTTCCGTCTCATTTCTACCGTCTCAAACATTGCCTCTCATCCATAATGGAGGTTTTGTTTGGGTTAGATCGCGCGAATGTATAAATGCGTCGTTAAAACTCGCCACCACCCGACGCAGCCAACTAGTATTGGGTTGTCACGTAAACAGAACGTGGCCAATTCGTCACTAGTACAGCACTAACCGGTGTGTTGGAGAGACATGCCAGAGTAATTAAAACCAGCTTCATCAGGCGAAACGTCGTACTCAGATTGTAAAAGTTGCGGCTTGGCTATCCAACACACCGGTGTGTTGCGCTAGTGACGAATTGGCCACGTTCTGTTCACGTGACAACCCTCACTAGTTGGCTGTGTCGGGTTTTAAAGACACATTTATATATTTACGCGATCTAACCCAAACAAGACTCTATTATGGATGGCATTGGTCGTGAAAGCCTACCGCGTGTTAAACTGATGGCCTCTCTTATTCTATTCCGTCTCACTTGGTGCTGGGACATACCCTCTTGGCAAACTGGTCAAACTGCTCAAAGGTTTACCGACAATCTGGGAGACGCAAACCGGAGAGCGGAAATAAAAAGATGCAACAATTTTGCGAAGATGCAAAATAGGTGCTGCTGCTGCTGAGCCGATAGCTTCCCGCACCGCTAATGAAACACTTCAGCAGGCGACGGCGCGTCGGGAATCGCGTTATGTAATCCGTGCAGTCGTCTCCGTGGGGCACAAGCGAGGCAACGCCCTGGCTGGGCCGGTTTCACCACCACTTGGTGGTGCGCCAAGAGCAATGCGAGCGCCGCATGACTCGGAGAGCGTGATAGGCATCCAGAGGAAGAAGAAAAAGTGATTTCTTGCTCACTTAAGGGGGTGCCTCCTCTCCCATTAAGAGTTCTGAGCAAGCGGTAGGAAATCCCACACTGCTATGACAGAGCAGACACCACTGCTTTTAACGACCCTGGAGGGATGATGGGTTCGAATCAATCCCCCCACCCACCCCCCCTCCATTGACAATTTGAACTGGCAACTGATTGCGAGCCACTCGCTCTACAGCTCAGCCGCCAGGATGGTGCGATTATAATCGTAATATAATGATGCAATTTGTCACGCACGTAGTAGTTCTCGGACAAAGCTGACCATCACTCCGAGGTGGAGCCAATCTCGGAGTGTCGCTCGAAAGCCAGAAGAATGACGTGGGGCCTTTAAATGTTTCTTCAAGTCATAAACCTTCAAGTTCTCCCCACCCCACCTGGATGGGGGCGGTGAGCCCAATCTTCCCCCTTCACTGGGGCCCTGTCGCTGCAGGAATCCTGTTGCTGTTTGCGGAGTTTATGTTTCCCCCTCCGCTCTGCGATCGGTATTTTGTACCGGGCTGACGTTGAGTTGTGATAAAAACTATTCTTTAAAAAAAAGCGCCTCTTAAAAGTCGGTGCAGAGCGAACGCTGCTGCTGCTACTGCTGCGAATGTGCAGCAGCAGCAGCAGAGACGGTGACGATGATGACGACGATCACGACGACGATGATGATGACCACGTTCCGGATGGCGAGAGCTGCCACGGTGAAAAGATGCGCGGCAGTGAGCATGGTCCCACTCCATGGTTTGGAGAGGAGGTTGTTGGTGGTGGTGGTGGTGGAGCTTGTGATGATTTTCTTCCCTTGCGATCCAACTAATCGTTGCGAGGTGATTCAAGCATCGGCCGTTTTGTTTTAACGCTGCGTCGAATGTAATGGCCTCTAGTGGCTGGATGACGACGATGATGATGATGAATGAATTGGCACGCGGTGTACATACAAAGAGTAAGAGTCAAAATGGTTTGCAAAGAGGAGCCAACCGTTTGAATGCTCACATTAATTTAATTGAATAAAACTGGGTTCTCAAGTGCAGCGAGCTGATGGTAACAATGCTGGTCACCGATTGTGCTCAATTTAAACACGTGAAGGCCGCCGTGACCAAAGTTAAGATTTACAATTAATTTGTGTGTCGGATCACGCGACGTGACCCAAAAATCAAATACGAAGCTTGATTTGGATAAAATACAGCTCTGATTTTTATACATATATTTAAATCTTCTTTGGTTCTTTCGGTAAAGTCACGTAGAATGAGAATAAAATAATAAATTGATAAAATAAAATAACACAATAATATTCTCACGACGTTTCGGCCACAACACAAGCGGCCTTCATCAGGTGAAGGGAGCAAGACTGTCTGGTAGGACAGCGCTGGAGTGAGAGAGCCACGTTCAGATCACGGCTTTTAAGCCTCAAATTTCCGTACGTGATCTGAACGTGGCTCTCTCACTCCAGCGCTGTCCTACCAGACAGTCTCGCTCCCTTCACCTGATGAAGGCCGCTTGTGTTGTGGCCGAAACGTCGTGAGAATATTATTGTGTTATTTTATTTTATCAATTTATTATTTTATTCTCATTCTACGTGACTTTACCGAAAGAACCAAAGAAGATGAATCATTGCAGTCACGAAAGCTTTAAATCATATATTTAAAGCTGTTGGTTTGAGCGTGATGCAACAAAACATTTATCTGTGGCAGGGCGTGTGATAAAATATGCCACAAGTGCGGATTTTTATATATATATAAAAAACAAAAGACGCATGCAATCTCTTTCAAAATAAAAGTTAACTTAAATTCTCGTTACACTCTCACCTTGGCCGTCTCTAGTTGCTGCCTGAAAGACTCCAGAGGTCGAATCATGATTTTCTGAGCATTTTCCATCTGTCAATGTGAGTCACAACACACACAAGACACACACGCGCACGCGCACACACACAGGCAACGCTATTACTCATAACAATTCACTTCCATCTTCTTTGGTTCTTTCGGTAAAGTCACGTAGAATGAGATATAAAATAACAAATTGATAAAATAAAATAACACAATAATATTCTCACGACGTTTCGGCCGCAACACAAGCGGCCTTCATCGAAATTCAATTCCAGTGTCTACAACAGCGTATCCTGTGGAGTTGACCTAGTATTAGCTCCAGTAGTCAAAAGACTTTGACAACCTAAAGAGATTTCCTTTTTCTTGGCCTCATTTGCATTCCCTGACATTCCAACTTACTTTTCTAATCCCTCAATACGACACCTCTTGCTTTCGTATTTTCTCTCAGCCATGGTGCACCTCATTCAGTCTCGGTATAATTCAAAGCATGCTTCCTTGCGCACTTTTAAACCTTTGCCCCATCTTATTCGTCGACGACCGCGTTTCTGGTTCATATACTACAGCGCGTCATAGACACTGCTTTTAATAGACTGTCTGCTTTAGGCACACTGTCGTCTTCTTTTGATTTGTGGTCATTCCCCCACACCTCCAATGAGCACGGTGTGGCTACGCAAGGTGTGATATAAGTTCAGCGTACATACTACTGGTAGAATAGCTATGAATACGAGATGATTTCAAAGATAGTTTCACCATGTGACTCAGGGGTCAGAGATACTGTGCAAGCAATGTGCATTTCAATCACCCATGGTTAAATCGGGCTCAAGCGTAGTCGATGCGGCGAGATGTTAACTACCTCGCCTGGTAACCAGGAAGTCGTGGATTCAATCCCGACCCTGACGCCTGCTCTATATTTGGAGTTTGCATGTCGCTGTCTTTGCCGTGTTCGTGTTGATTTGGGTCCTCCGGTTTTTCCCTCCACATTCAGAATCAACATCACGTGTTTAGAGTATTTGGCCGCTGTGCATTTCCACATGAAAATCCGCTTTTTGTTGAGCTACCATTTGTGGCCAGGCCGCTTTTGACAAAGAGCTGCATAGCTCAGTTGGGCCTTACCTGGTAAAATAAGAAATAGTTGAGTAGTTTTAGTTTAGTGATGTATTATGAGCCCCAAAATTAAACACGTCATCTGGTGATAATCCAGTGCCAGTGGGGCACAAAACACTAACAATTAAAAAAATAACTCAACACGGTTCGTCAATAAAACTGGGGCCTTAAAAGAAAATAATTTATAAATAGGCAACAATCGGCAATGGCCCTTCTTCACAGTACATAGGAAGGTAGAGTGGCTCACTCTGGAGTGGCTCATTCTGAAGTGGCTCACTCCACCTCTCTGTCCTCTCTGTTTATGCGCTTTGAAGAAGGCTCATTGTCGGGAACGTCGCATATTATATATATAATTATATATATAATTTCCACACTGTTATTGACGAACGGGATTATTATTTTTAAAATTCCCACTACAATTGAACAACTGACAAACAGAAGCGCTTGAGAAGTTTGCGAATAACTTTTGTCGGCTCCGTTGGCTTTTTTTTTCCTTCACAATTTTAACCGATGAACTCACAACAGTGTTGTGAATGTTTGAGCTCCAGCAACGGCTCTCAAAAGCTGAACACACCAACGCACACATTCCGGGAGCAAGCGTCACAGGTGTTGTTTAAAGACACCACAACGGGAGGTTACGATTGAGCCACAGTGGTGGGAAACGCTGCAGAGTGACACTCATCAGTGGCTATTGTTACTGCTGCTGCTACTGCTGTTGTCAGAGCTGCTGCTGCTATTGCTGCTGCTTTTTCTGCTGGTGCTGCTGCTATCTCAGTCAACCCATGGCACCTGGGTCTGTCCCGTGACCTCCTGTTAGCGAGCCTTCGACACTGCACATGGCCTCAAAGTGCACCTGGCCTGGCACAAACGCCGTGGTAATGTCACCACCACTTAGTTGCAAATGGTGGCTGTTGTTGTTGCTATTAGAGATGATGCTGCTGCTGCTGCTACTGCTGCTTCGATAATACCTGCAGCAAAACGACGTTGTCAGCCAAGAACGGATTTAGCGGCGGAGGGAAGCACATTTGTTCAGGGCCCAAAACAAGACAAATCATGATCAGCCCACTGCTGGAGGAGGCCCTCCCCGCGCTGTCGTCGCCCTTCAAGGCCACGCTATCCTGCGATGCAACCATTCCATCTCGCGGTTGCACACAGCCAATTCCTTCGCTCCAGCTATTCTGGTGGACGTCCTCTCAGACACGGTCCATCCCTTATTGATCTTGACCATCGGTTGACGTCGATTCTAGGGGCGCCTCTTGACCATTGCCACTTACGCTTCCGGGCAGTTTGACCGATGTCGTTAACCCGCGTGCGTCGCATGTAAGCATGTTGAACTTCTTTCGCGCCGTACGTAGCCAACCGTGCTCATCGGAGCTGCGGGGGAATGGCAAAAAACTAAACGCAGAGTTCTCGAATCCACGCGTCCCTCTTCCCATCCCTTGATGCGATGCCCAGCGCGTGCCCCTTCATAAATCTCTGCACACTTTTCACCCTTTACTTCACCGGCTTTTCTCGACGTCAATGTTTCTGAGCCACGCTCCACCGCAGGATGCACACGCATTGATGAACAACATTTTTTTTTAAACCATCATTATTTTAATCCGGACAGTACAAACGACACGCTTAGTTTGTTTTGATGAACGAATCAACCCTCGCGTGTCGCTGTCGTGATGAATTAGCTCACTAGGGAGGGGGCCCAGTAGATGTGGAACACCCAGCCAACGCTAGGCCAATGCTTCCAACAACGTGCCAACGTTGGCCCAACGTTGTATGTTGAAACCATTAAACTATATTTAAAAAAATGTAAACTACAATTCAACTATTTTTCTTTTACCAGGTAAGGGCCCACTGATTTTTTTCAAAAGTGACTTGGCCACAAATGACAGCTCAACAAAGCGGCTTATCACGTGGAAATATATACGTAGCAGCCAAATACTCTAAGCACACGTTGATTCTAAATGTGGAGGAGAAAAACCGGCAGGCCCCGCAGAAAAATCCACGCAACCACAGGGAAAACACGCAAACTTCAAATATACAGGCGGTAGGGGTTGGTATCGAACCTATGACCCAGACGAGGTGGTTAACATCTCGCCACCACGGGGTGTGGACACGTCGGCCCCGGCGGTGACCTGCTGCAGGCTACGAATTCAAGGCGACGCGTCGGCGATCGGCGCCGGTGCGGGGAGGGCGAGGCACTCACCACGCGCGATCGCTCCTCGTCCATCAGACGGAGCAGCTCGGCAAACTCCTGCAGCGCCACGGCTGAAAGGGAGAGGAGAGAAAAATATCACGATGAGACACTCGAAGAAACACGTGGATTTTGCATCGCGCCACGATTGCAGGCGCATCTCGCCGCGCTGTACAGAAACCGTTTGAGGTGCGCATCATGTGCATGGTTATACATTCAGTATGCACAATATAAGTATATATGCTGAACTTCTTTCGCACCGTACGTAGCCAACCGCGCGATTCGGAGCAGTGCAGTGCTTCTGCGGCATTTTCATTCCACGGCTCGCGCTTTTCGAGCTGGCTCGAAATTCGCGGCGCATCGTTTGCCCAACTGCGCATGCGCGACGGAGGGAAGCGATAATGCCGGGGAGGTGAGGGCTGACGGCCGTGTCTGTTGCCGTACCCCGCCGTGACCAACGGAGAGGGTAGGGTAGGAGGTGGGGGGGGGTGCACGATCGGCCACTGAACGGCACGGGAGAGAGGATTTCTTCCGTCCTGGCTGGTGAACTGTGAGGCCCTTTCCTCTTCTATAACATCCCGAAAATACAACGGTACACCTTGGGACTTTGCCGAAGCGTACTGGATGCTCTGTTGCACACCGGTCTTGTATGCGCTGCTCTCGGGAAAACATAGTCAGTCATATGTAGCGCTGCACTAGGCAAAACAGTCTGTCACGTGTGAAAGAGAAGAGGAAGCTCTTGAGCATGGCCTTGAGCAGGGGCAGGGAGCCGCCGGCATGGATGGCTGGAGTGGGGGGGGAACAACCGAGAGATGCTGCGGTCGCCAAAAAGGAAGCCAAGGCACCCAGATGAATTGTTTGTATTGGTGACCCACGTACGTGTGTACATGCGGCGCTGCCCGTTGTGTAAATAAGGGCCTCGCCACGTCAGGTCGGTTTTCGGCAGTGAGTTGACCGGTTTCACCACGCAGGTCAGCATGGATTTGGTGAAGGTGGGGAGAATAGACGCTGGGAGCGTAGAAGTACAGCACAATGATAGAGTATGCTGCATTGTCCTCTGCTATCCACCACACAGCCCCGCAGCAGCCAATAACAGTGTCCCGCACGGTGATCGCCAGTGAAAGTACCGTCCGGGCTCGGCTCTGAATAGCTTATGTTGGATGAGTTAGCTCAGAGGTAAACAACACATTCAGAATAATACGAAATTAAGTGGCAGGAATAAATGTTGCACCGCTGTTTTCTCCCACGCGTGCCAGACTTGGTTTCACCGAGTGCACCTCTTGTCCTCTCGTAGATGTTAACTTCCTCACCTGGTGTACAGGAGATTGTGGGTTCGATCCCAACCCTGATGCCTGTGTATTTGGAGTTTGCATGCTTCTCTCCCCGTGGTCACGTGGATTTTTCTCCGGGCACTCCGGGTTTTCCTCCACAGTTAGAAACACGCGTTTAAGAGTATTTGGCTGCTATAAATTTAGACACAAGCCACTTTATTTTGGCCATCATTTGTGGCCAGGTCGCTTCTGAAAGAGAGCTGCACAGCTCGATGGGCCTTAGCTGGTAAAATAAAAGCTCAGTTTTAGTTCAGCATGGCCACGTGCCCGAGCTTGAGTTGTTGTAACATAAAACAATGGAATTATATTTCCACATCCAGCCTCATAAACACGCACGTCGGGGGTGGTGCGGACCGGCTCTAACCCGTCTTTGTGTTGCGGTTCCAATTCAAAATCGTACGGGCGCTCATGCAGATTCTACTGTCCTGTACAGGACGAACTGGTACAAGGGCATTGAAAATAAAACCACAATCATTTGGTTCCCCCCGTTGTAACCAAGGCGAAGAATTAAATTGGAACTATCGCACAAACGGCCAGAGGGATGGGATATCACAGAACTAGTCCCGAGAGCCCTTCAAATGATCTCTGGTATCCACACAATAGTGGGCACTGCACTGTGTCAAAATGCCCAGGTGCAGAGGATAATGCTCATCGCAATTGCAGTACAACGCCACATTCAAAACCTCACAGCTGGAATTTATTCAAATGAAGTGAGAAAGTAAAATTATGAAAAATAGATTGTTTTTTGGGTGTATACATTGGTGAGGTGACGAAGCTGATACCATTAATTCACTGCAGTTGAAACCCCCTGTGAAAATCACAGCCAGTTTCTTGGATTCAAACCCAGGCTCCGTGCCACGTTTAACCCCCCAGAGGCCATACTGCTGCTTCAACCGCCACATTCCCTGCTTGTTAACTCGATTAACAAAAGCAGTAAATTTTACCTCCATATTTCCGGCCAAAAACTTTTACATAGTTTCTCAAGTCGGTATTGCAGTGACCCAGGGACTGTTTTTAATGTACGTTGCCTCTGCATTGCAACCAATGTAAACTATTTCTTAAACTTTATATAGTAATAGGTTTTACCCTTTTAACTGGCACAAAAACTGACACCTTTATTCAAGGCATCATGTGTGCAATAACCACAACACAAGCAGTCAAAATGCAAACAAAAGAGACAACTCTGATAATAATATGCACTGTCCTTGAATTTGATTGGTCCACACCCGAGACGGCTTTTCTTAGAGCCTAGTCTCCACTGGTGTTGGACCAGAAGACTGCTTGTGTTGTGGTTATTGCAAACATGATGCCTTGAATAAAGGTGTCAGTTTTTGTGCCAGTTAAAAGGGTAAAACCTATTACTATATTTCTTAAACTATTTATTATTTTATTAGGTAAGGCCAATTGAGCTGTTTAGCTCTTTTTCAGAAGCGACCTGGCCACAAATTACAGCTCAAGAAAGTGGCTTATCATGTGGAAATTTATAGGTGGAGGGAAAAACCAGAGGACCCGGAGAAAAATTCACACAAACACGGGGAAAACATGCAAACTCCAAATATACAGGTGTCAGGGTCGGGATCAAACCCACGGCCTCCTGCATACCAGGCAGGGAAAGTAACATCTTGACACCATGGTGCCCAATCAATGGAGCCACTTGGGTATGTGTCACCTGCGATCGGAAAACCCACGGCAGATTTTTCCTGCTCTAACAAACAAGAGCCATGCATAAATCACGAAAAGCACGTGGTTTTCCTTCCAAAGAATTAGTTGATGCCTCGTTTTCCCACTGCTTAACCCGAGCAAGCCTGGCACGGCTCAAGAAGAAGTCCCAGCAGAATTTCGATTTAAAGCTTTCGTGACTGCAAGGATTCATCTTCTTTGGTTCTTTCGGTAAAGTCACGTAGAATGAGAATAAAATAATAAATTGATAAAATAAAATAACACAATAACCATTTCCGTTCTTAATTTATTGTATTTTACGATGACCTTCAGACCGCAGCTCTTTCGCTGGTTTACAACATGGAGTATAACAGCGCCTAGCAGCTGTCTCTCTCCCCCTCCTCCGTTCCGACCATGGATGAACTCGTCCGTCTGAACGGGGCTCGTAGCTATCCGTGGTGCTAAAGTTGAGGGTAAGAATTCACCCATTTTTTCGCCATATAGCATTGTGATATATAACGACTTATTGTTGGTAGCTTAGCTGATTGGAGAATATATAGAGTTTATTGATAACATTGAGGTAATTTATATTTTAGTTTTTTCTTGGTTTACTATATAGTATTCATTATATAGTGTAGTGTATTCCCAGTTACTGTTAATAGCTCAGATGTGTAGGCTTTGACTTTAACATAACTATTTCTATGACCAGTCACAAGCTAATCCCTCAGTTATTTCAATGCTAAATTCTCCTGTTTGATTTGTACTAGGTGCATCTGTGGATGTGTATGCTTTGACTTTAACATAGCCATTTCTGTGACCAGTCACAAGCTAATCACTCAGCTATTTCAATGCTAAATTCTCCTGTTTGATTTGTACTAGGTGCCTCTGTAGATGTGTAGGCTTTGACTTTAACATAACTATTTCTATGACCAGTCACATGCTAATCCCTCAGTTATTTCAATACTAAATTCTCCTGTTTGATTTGTACTAGGTGCATCTGTGGATGTGTATGCTTTGACTTTAACATAGCCATTTCTGTGACCAGTCACAAGCTAATCACTCAGCTATTTCAATGCTAAATTCTATGCTAATTCCTTTGTCAAGGGGTGCCTCTGTGGATGTGTATGCTTTGACTTTAACATAGCCATTTCTGTGACCAGTCACAAGCTAATCACTCAGCTATTTCAATGCTAAATTCTATGCTAATTCCTTTGTCAAGGCGCTCTGTTCCTTCTCACACAGCTTAAAGGTCGCGGTCTGAGCTTGGCTGTGTTCGCTCCAGCGCTGTCCTCCAGACAGTCTCGTCCCTGCACCTGATGAAGGCCGCTTGTGTTGTGGCCGAAACGTCGTGAGAATTACTATTGTGTTATTTTATTTTATCAATTTATTATTTTATTCTCATTCTACGTGACTTTACCGAAAGAACCAAAGAAGAAGTCCCAGCAGGTTGTTTTTTTCCCCAGCAGAAGCCAGATCAGTCGTTCCGAGTCGAGACTCAACGCACGCGGTTGACGCTGCGGGTCGAGTTGTACAGTGAGGGCCACAGGTGGTGCATCTGCCAGTCATCTCAGTCAGTCAACCCACGGCACCTGGGTCTGTCCCGTGACCTCCTGCCAGTGGGCGTTCCGACACTTCACATAGCTTGGCACAAGCGCGCCGTGGTGACATCACCGCCACTTATTGGTGAGTGGCGGTTGTTGTTGTTGTTGTTACCAAGTTGTACTGACGGACGTCACACGTAACGGAAGCACCATTAACTCCTTTCCCTGGCGCTGCTTGGGCCCGAAGCAAGATTCAGACGTCTTACGAGGAGAGCGTAACAAGGCTTGGTTTTGGCCGGGCAAGGACAAAATACCCAGTGGACATCACCTATTAGCTCAGCTCGCATGTGCTAGTGGAAAAGGGGATTAAAGCAGCTGTTGTGGAGTAGCATAGCGAAGACAAAGATCCCCCATATGGCCTTAACAGACTGTTGGGGCGAGTGCTGTCAGGAGCACCTATGAAGGCCGAGACGGCACACAAGGGGGTCGGGGTGGCCAGCACCACGCTCGATCGTCTTTTTCTATCCAGCGATGATGTTTACACACCACACCAGGTACTCATTTGAGCCCGAGTCAACCTAGGGGAGGCCCAGGACGGGTTCAGATTCTCGTAGTGTTGGCTGCGTGCGGGCATCGAACCCCGGGGTCGCCCGGCTTCGCAGCGCAGCGGCGCTGACCGCCACTGCGGCACTGCTCCCCATGCGTAGCGTAGCCATAGCGCGCCAAACAGACGCGTCAGCGTCGGCCCCACTGCACAACCACAACGGCCGCGATCCGTGCAAATCGGTGCCTGCGTGGACCTCTACGGAATCGTCCTAAGCAAGGGGCCGCCCTCCCGTTAACTCCGAACGCGTAAAAAATAAATTCAGAGCAAACGGCAACAAAAGCGCAACTGTGAATAATTACTCTCCAACACACAACCAGTGTCCTGAAGTAGCAACTAATTGGCACGTTGTGTTTACGTGACAAACCTGACTAATCGGCTGTTTCGGGTGGTGGCGATCTAACCCCCAAGAACAAACAAACAAAAAAACCCTTTGCTGTGAATAATATCGGTCGCGAAATATTCCTACGAGCCAAACCGCAAATAATCGCTGGGGTAACCGATGGCAAGTGGCCTCAACGACGCAGCTCGTTTTCTGAGAAAAAAATGTTAAACCTACAAAACGCCGCTTTGCAACCACCTCGCGCAGAAAAAATAACTCGCCTGGGCCTTATCGTGCATCACACACGGCTTAGGAGGTGGTTACCTAGGGGCGGGGGGGGGGGCTAAATTCTGTTATTTCAAGGAAGAGATTTTAACGGAGGGGAATGTGGTTGTTGTTTTTTGCCTGCTTATTAAATGAAAAAAAAAGGTGAGAAGCTCAAAATGATGCACGCCCAGCCAAACGGCCTCGCGGGTGCCGCGGGGGGGGGGGGGGTTTCTAAAAACGTTACTGGGCACTTGTCAAGACCCTCCTGGGACAAACAAAACACGCTATCTCGAGAGTCTTTTCACGCGCAGTAAACAAGCATCACGGTCGTCGTACTTCGTAGTAGTAGTAATAATAATCATGCCCGAGCAAAGAAACCACTTTGTGATTACAGCAAATCAATACTCGCATTATTATTATTGTTATTACAGCAGCGACTGAAATGTACGCGGGAATTTTGTGGAAATGCCCAACTGCCCCTTTTCTCACTTGGGGCAAGGAGTTATGCTCATCACAGTTGTGTAACTCCCCCCCCCCTCTCCTCCTCCTCAACCCCGCTCCTTCCCCCACGTTACATAACCCTGCCCTTTGTGGCAAGACGGAGACTCCTACACCGTGGACTGGAAATACTGTGCCAACAATCTCGACTGGTATGAAGCCTAAGGCCGTGCGTGCATCGCCTCAAGACGAACTTCGCTCTTCATGACACAATAAGCTTTTTTTGTTTTACTTTGCGATGACAATGCACAGCTACCGATTTCCCCGCGGGCATCATCACACGGCCCATTCGATGGCTCGTCACGATACAGAATCGCAATACGGGGGGGGGGGCCGCGATTCGAAATCAAAGAATTGATTTTTATTGTCTCATTCATACTGGCTCGCTGGGATTTGTTTTCGTCTGTTCCATCTCGTGTGGGCGGTCTCGCTCACGCTGCCTGTCTTGTGTGTTCTACCTTTATAGAACTCTTTGTTGTTGTGTTCAGTTGTGTTGTCCTTCCCCTCCTCCCACACCTCTTAGCACGGTTGGCTATGTGCAGCGCGAAATAAATTCAACATACATGCATTCACCAAGACGCATTGACCAGTGTGGTGAAGTATGGTCAAATAACTGCCCACGGCGCGCATGGTGTGGGAGAGGGCCTCATCCGGCGGTGGATAAAAGGGTCGCGCATCTATGCTTGGCAGGCTACGTTATCGCCACTATAACACCACTGCTGACGTCCCGCAATGTGGTACTGTAGTTAGTTCAATGAACCAGTAAAATGATGATGATGATGGTGGTGATGTCGTCTTTGACGTATGCACCGTTATCGAGGGTGATGGCAAGGCCGGGTGCACCTCCCGATTTGCACGGATGGCTACGTACGGTGCGGGAGAAGTTCAACGTGCACAGGCGTACATCGATTCCAAAGGCGAGCGGCGCGGGGAGAGAAGCGGAGGGAGAAGCGTGCGGAGAGAGCGAGGGCCTTGCGCAGAGCGATGGCCCTCGGCCCCGATACGTACCGATGTTTCCTTCATCGTCGGTCTCCGCATCGCCGATGATCTCAAAGTTGAAGCTCTGCAGACACTGGTTGAACTTCTCCTGGGCCTGAGAGAGAGCTGCGTTTTGCACGGGGGAGAGAGCAAAAGCGAAACGATCCGGGCGTCAGGAGTTTTGCTAAAACGTGACCGTCGATTCAAACCTAAAAGACCCTTGTCGGTCGTACGCCGCCGAACCCGGAGAAACGAACTTAGCGGATGTAAAACCTCCGTAACAAAACGCCCTTTTGCTTTTAGGAGCATAACGTCGTTCTCGCAAGAGTCGGCCAATCATACGCGCACTGAGCTCCCGAACAGACTGCCATACGCACGACTAGAATTATATGTTTGTTGTCGTAGCTCCCAAAGACTACACAACACGCAGCTCGGACACTCAACTTCTTCCCCAGATTCGCAATCAACGCTGCACCGAGTTGTTCATGTACTGAGTTGAGGGACCCTTGTGTTCAAATCAATACGAGAAGTATAAAATAGATAAAAATGAATGGCACGATACCAGACCTCTCGAGTCAAGTCTCGGCTCTCGCAGGTTCAGTGAGCGGGGTTGTCTCGAGTTTATTTAAAGCGAGCCGATTCCAAAGATGTTTCTTGTGCATGCGAAGTTGGCGTTTGTCGCGAGGCGATTCCGCCTCCCCCATCAACCCCGATCATGTCTCACGTCCTGCCGCTCATCAACCTGACACACCGCACGTCCGGCCAAACTCAGGCGCACAGTTTCGCAAATTGAGCAACCTTGGAACACCGAGTAGGGCATTGTAAAAAATGTTTAATCCTAATAATACATAAAGGGTGTCAAATTGAAGCTGGCTACAGTTTCAAAACACCATAAGCTTATATGTGGAATAGTGTACGTCAACGGTTTGCCACACAGAAAGTCAACCTGAATGCACCATGACCGTGACAGCAAGGATGAAGGTCAGCTCAACAGCGTATGTCCAACGCCGAGGTATTTTACAAGCATTCCTCCACGATAAAAAAAGGACGGACAACTTATCCGAATTAAAGTCTTCACTGGTCGATATGCTATACCCACTCAAAACTCCGCTCCATGATTAAACTGAGGATTTCACGCGTATTTAAAGGGCCCGAAATGTACGTTCCGAGTTCGCGGACCTTCGCTGGGGGTTAACCCCGGGCTGCAGCAGACACACGTGTCAGGGCTGCCTGACACTGACGTGGCTTTGCGGGATGCCACAGAGTCTGCGAGGCCAAAATTAGACCTGGAATGACCTGAACGGGACTGTGGCTCCGGTTAGATCGCTTGGATCACGGATAGGAAGGTCGCAATTTTAAGTCGTGGGTCCAGGGATTGACACACAAAGCCACCGCCAACGCCGTCACCGTCGTCATCATCATCACCACTGTCGTCGTCATCATCATCACTGTCGTCGTCATCATCATCATCATTTTGTTGGGGTGTTTAAAAGGAGTACCGCTCTGTGGAAATTCAATTCAACAGTGGCTGTCCGAGGGAGAGAATGTTTTACCTTATTTCTTATAGAGCGCCTTTGATCAAGGCGCGAAACATGTCCCCTGGCAAGTAAATGTTGTCGATCCACTGCTGGATGAGGGCGCCCGCACGCCGTGCGGGACACGGGAGTTTATTTGACCATCATTGATGGGTTGGTGACGGCGGTGAGCGCAGCTCCCCGGAAGCATAGAAGTACAGTACGACGATGGCTTTTTCCGACCGCCTTCCGCTACTCACCAAAAAGCCTCACACAGGACTAAAACGTCCGTGGGTTGTGCTTTGTGGTCGCCCATCCAAGCACGACCCATGCTCAACCCCTTCTTAGTTTTCGGAGCTCTGGTGAAATGGGGCCAAATTCTGCTGAGATGGGGGCCCATTCCTGGCGAGTTTCTCTCAATGTGTAATCTGCGCCAAAGTTTCAGGGCCACCAACATTGCGATGGGCATTGCACAACGAATGCACGCGCAGATGGAAATGATGAATGTTTGACCTCTTGACTGCAGTCCTGTGCTCGATGCAACAGGTGACGTTGCTAATGCACATCGGTAGCACATGACTGCAGGTAACTAGACGCTGAACACGTGAGGATACGATGCATTGTAAAAACATAAAAACCCGTTTTTATGTTTTTCCTGTCTTTGTTTCAAAACCTGTCCCACTAAGAAATGAACAACAAATGTCAATTCAGCAGAAAAAATGACCACGTGTTGAAGCTTAGGAATGCATTCGTTTTAAATACTGTATTGTACACTCGCTGTATGTGTTTTAGGCATTCAATTGCTCTGTATTGAGAGTTAGTGATGTGCAGATATACGCAACTCAACCACTCGCTCACCCACCCACTCATTACCTTGCCCACACACCGCCTTCACATGACTATTTGGGGCAGTGTGAAGTTCTATGGACCATGGTACGGTGTTCGTAAATCCAGTAGCACACAGGTAGAGAGTCTTTTATTTTCTACTCTTGTGTTAGACGTCCACCGCATCGTCCGAGGTTTGTGCGGTTCCGGTTAAGCGCTGCCCATTGTTTCCGTGGCAGATGAGCGCCTGCCAGTGTGGTAGTGGGGACTGATGATGGAGCCATAGATGATGATGGTGGTAGTGGTGTTGGTGATGATGGGGGCGATGTGTTTTCACCACCCATGTGTTTTTGACGCACGTGAGAAAGGCAATGCGTCAGTGGCGTTGCGGTCACAGATAAATAACCGCGTGCTCTTACGTTTTGCTGGAGAAGCTACAATCGAGGTTGCAAGCGAATTAAAATGGGTCCGACACAAAAGTAGCAAGCAAGCCCCACCCTCAATTATCACCAAGGGCGTGTGCCACGTCACTCAGCTACACTCGCTTAAAGTAATTCATCAACCCGTGTTCCTTTAAGGGAGACGATTGAGGTGATAAAATCAGCACTGTTTGATTTTAGCGTATCATTCCGGTTAAGTATTTTCTGCTACGAGACTGTTTCACAGTTGTGCTGTACTTCCCATGCTGCCACCTCCTCCGACCCGTGCCGATCGTCGTGGAGAAGTTAGGTCAAGTAACCCGCCACGGCCAACACGGCTTGGGAAGGCCATCGCCCAGCAGTCCATTGACAAAAGGAGGGCGAAGGACTGCTGTGTGGTTTACACCAGGACCTTCAAAAGGCAGCAAGAGACACACACAGCTCCACGTGGGTTTTGAGTGGGAAACCCACGTGGACTTGAACAAAAAAATTGAAAAGCAAAGCGACCGTGAATCTTCAAATAAATTTCCACTGCACCCAAAGTGCGTTTTTTTACACGGACCACCTGACCAGCCGGTGGTGCTGGCAACCGACCCCCTCGTGTGCCGTGCCGGCCTTCAATAGGTGCTCGCAAACAGCACTTGCCCTAAAAGTCTGTTAAGGCTACACGGTGGGAGATATTTGTCTTTGTATTGGTGGATGGGCGCACTACTGGACACACACGTTGGTTCTGACGGTCGTAAAATAAAAATCTCCAAGTGCAGTGAGAATTATCTATGAATAATTAAATGTAACATTATCTCAAGATGCTTTACAGCAGTGTTGACACACGCGCTGTTAAGAACCAGCGAATGGAGGGGAGGGGGGGGCCTCACCTCACCTCACCCAGCAGTGAAACCACCAAAAGGGGGGGGGGGGGGGGGCATGGACATGGCATGGTACTACGACCGACCTAGCGCAGCCCATGGCAGTCGTCAATATCCCAACTCCACACAGCCACTCCCACACTGCTACTGGTACATCCCGTGCCCTCTTGGTGAGGCTGGGAGAACATCTGCCAAGGAGGGGGTACGGAGGGGGGGGGGGGGGACGGTCACTTCTTCTCGGTTGTTGCTCCCCCTTCGTCATCTCGAACTCACTCGCGCCACTGTGTCACCGTTTAGGTCTACACCGGATACTCTGTTGACTCTCTGACGCTCACGCATTTTTGTTGTTTGAGGTACTGTATTTAATATACTATTTATTAGCCTCTCAATTTTCGTGCTGTGGCACGGCGTCTGGAGATGCGGCTGCATTGCAGACGCCAGACCCAGGGGTCGACAAACCAAAACAACAAGAGACATTTTTTTATTAGAATTTGGTAACAACAACAAAAAACCTCAATAGTTGATGAGCCGCAATGCACCGCGTGGTGAATATCGAGACGGCGGGGTTCCTTAATCGATAACGCAACGAAGCAGTCACTTAGAGAGCCGCACGCAACTCCAGATCCGCAGTTTGCCGACTCCCTGCCGCTTGAGAAATCAAAATTGCCCTGGAAAAAACCAGGGGGGGGGGGTGGGGGATGGGAAGCCGATACGTAGCTGTGGGGGGGGGGGGCGGCTTGAGGTCACGGTGGGGTCGGCGAGGCCCGTGCCAGGACACGGCCCCTCCAACGGGATTTTGTTGGAGGGGGGGGGGGCATGCTTCAGGGGGGCGATGAATGGTGCCGTTGTCGAATGGCGGAGCAGGGGAGGGGGACAACTGTGGGGGCAGAGGGGACACAGTGAGGACGGAACGCCACGTCCAGCGGCCCGGCCGCACGGAAAACGCACGGGCATTCGTCGCCACCTGCAGATGCCAGCGACCGTCAGTCACAGGGGACTACTGCCAAAGGTGATCTCTCCAAAGCAAACCACGGAGCAGCAACTGCACCTCCGATTAGCGCGGTTGGCTGCATACGGCGCGAAAGGAGTTCAACATGCATCCGTGCGCCTATCCATGGGCGGGTTATGCGGGTTGTGAAAAAAAAAATGCAGACTCTTGTCTTCACGTGCGCGCCGGGTTTCATTAACAGCCGGATCCTCACTCGCCGGGGGTCAGAGACTTGGTCCCCACGTGGCCGTCAACATGTGGGCAAGTAAACCGATGACTTCACTTTAAGAATCAATAAAAATAGACGACTTCACCCTCATTCTACGTAGGCAAACAATAAAAGTGTTTTTTTTCTAATAACCCTAACATGTACGTATATTCTCCGCAATTTTTGTTTTCAGAAACCAGGCCACCGCTCCCAATCTCCAATTACCCCGGATAATTGAGAGTTGACTTTACTGTACTCGGAAAATGATGCCAACTACAACCTTGATGTAAAGCGTGACAGCTAGGTGCTGCCTGGCTGCAATTTGGCCCAAAGGCGTTGCTTACCGGATTAGTCATTAAAAGCGTCTTGTCTCTGCCGATGGAGACGTCAAATAACCAGCATAATAAATGTTTTTGGGATAGATCGCGTTATTTATAAATGTGTCGTAACCCTCCACCACCCGACAAGGCCAAACAGTAAAAAAAGTGTCACGTTGACAAAAGACAAAATAGTTCACTACTTTAGCCCACCGGTGTGTTGAAGAGTGAATCCACAACATTTACAAAACATTTTTTTTAACCAGCACTGTGTGCGAACACATAAGCAGGGAACGTGTCCCGCACGCAACTAGGACACTCCAGGATTTATTTGCACGAGGAAAGGGGTCCACCCGAGACATCACACAACCTCGTCGAGGGAGCCGCAAAGTACAACAAAGCACGAAACAGAACTCGAGTAAAACTACCCTCTGTGTAAATTTGAGGCTTAGAAGGCAACCTCACAATGTCACTTTTCTTACTGCCATGCCACGTCCTCGGCAGCTTACGCGTGCGTATTCACTGGACGGGACCGTCGTCGGCCTTGATCAATCCGCCGCTGGATGACGGGACCCTCCTCAAGCTGTCGCCGTCCTCTCACGGATCTGTGATGTGAAACCACAACATCTACGGGCCTGCATGCGAGATGATTTCATTGCTCGAACTCGGCGGTCGACGTCCTCCCATGCGTATTCCCTTCTCGAGCTGCCAATTCCATCCTCGGTATGGACCACCGAACGTCATCCCTTCTGGCGACGTGTCCTGCCCAAGGCCACTTACTTTAACGAACAGCCGACATGAAATGTTTGACGAGGTACGGCAAGTGAACACAGTACAACATTGTCCATCAATATCTCAGCGTGGGCAGGAGTGACGGCGCAGTGACTGGCGCACTGCGCTACGACCCTGCCGACGCGAATGCGAATCCAGGCCTCGGCAATCAACGGTACTGTAGTAAAGTGATTTCTGAATCGGGCCTGGGCCACCCCCGTACCCCTTTACCAACCAATACGGACAAGCGCGGTGAAATATGGTCAAACAAGTTCCACAAACAACACGGCATGGGCAGGCCTTCATTAAGCAACGGATTGACAAAGGGGTCAAAGTTATTATTCCTGCCAAGTTGAATACAAGCCTGGGGCCTACCTGACGTCTGCACATACCTGGGTATACAGTGCCGTACATTTAAATACTTGCTCAATGACCTTTACAAGCAGCTGAGAGAGCCCGCTGACACAAGCGTCTCTTTTGCGAGGGAGACACGGCGTACTAAAACTTAACCAACAGACAGCATAGCTCTCCAATGGGTTTAAAATTATTTTCTTTAGTTCCTGAAGAAGCTCCCAGCACGTGGAGCGAAACGTCGGACATCATACGTCCCCGAAAAAACGCGTCGGAAAACTACGCAGCACGACGGCATCAAAAGCGCACGATGCCGAAAGCGACAAACTGAAAAATGACACTTCAAAAGTAAACAACAGCAGAATAAACACAAATGGCATTGGCAGAGAATCGAACTCGGTCCCTCCGGGTACGCAGCGCGGCGCACTAAACCCAACGCGACCATCGGTGGTCCACCAGAAGGCAGAGTTGTCCCGCTTGTGCGCGCACACAAACACGGGGAGGATAATCGGAAGTGGCAGAGGAGGAAAGTGGCAGCCAACGGTGCCGGCGTGCGAGCTCACGAGGATCGAGGGCTCTAACTCGCCGGCTTCGTCGTGTGCACACAGGCAGCGGCGAGCGGAGAATAAAAACACACGGCTTGGAACTTCAAGGGCGCTTGCATTCCCCCACTGTCCATTGTGCCACATCGCTACGCAAAACGCACACGCGCACGCAGTTGCAAAACCTGTCAAAGGCGGGCGCCTTGGATGGCAATCACCGCTGGCTTGGTGCAGGGACTTGAGAAGTTGCACGGAGTAACGCGACAGCTGCACAAACGCCGAACCAGCTGGACTCCCCCCCCCCCCCCCCCCAACATAAACAGTGTACACCGTCACACGTCCGATCGTCGCCCGTCCGATCGTCGCCCGTCCGACCGTCGCCAATTCGCCGCCCGCACCCGGCGCAGCATTTGCACGTGGTGTAAACGTAATTTTTAATAGACGTTCACACGTCCGACATTTTTCACAAATCCGCACATGCCTCACACCACCGGCAAGTCGGATGTGTGACGTTGTCCTGTTATAAACATTAACTAATCAATCATCGCCAGCGGCCAAGATCGATCCACTGCTGGACGAAGACTTCCTCGGCAAACAGTGGCAACCTCTCTCACGATCTCGCGACGCAACAATATTCATCCAAGCACCTGCACAAGAGCCGATTTCATCGCTCCATCTCTGTGGCGGAGGCCCTCACAGACGCGTTCCATTCGCGTCTGTCATTCAAACTAAACTATTTTAATTTTTCCATGGTAAGGCCCAATGGACTTTGTAGCTCTTTTTCAGAAGCGACCTGGCCACAAATGATCGCCCAACTAAGTGGCTTGTCACGTGGAAATGCACAGCAGCAGCCAAACACTCTAAACGCGTCTTGATTCTAAATGTGGAGGGAAAAACCGGAGGACCCGGAGGAAAATCCACGCGACCACGGGGAGAACACGCAAACTCCAAATATACATGCGTTGAGGTCGGGATCGAACCCACGCCCTCCTGTATACCAGGCGAGGTAGTTAACATCTCCTAGCCACCGTGATGATGATGAGAGAGAGAGACACGCAAACTCTAAATATACAGCAGCAGGCGTCAGGGTCAGGATCGAACCCACGCCCTCCTGTATACCAGGCGAGGTAGTTAACATCTTCGTGGCGCCCTGTGCTTGACCATAGTCCCTTCATAGCGACGCGTCATGCCCAAGCACACGTTGTTGTTGACGCTATGAATGAAGTCGCGTTCACAACCCTGCTTACGTCCTCTAAATGGACATGCCCGACCTCCCGGGCAACAACATTTACTTCTTTGGACGGTGCCACATATCCAGAAACAGTAAACAAGCACGTGCTCCCCGTTTACAGCTCACGGCAGTGGCCGG